TCTCCGCATGCCCGTCTTCTCTCAACCTTTCGAGGTTGTCGCGGACGCTTCGGGCTATGCGCTTGGCGCTGCCCTCCTCCAGGATGGGTAACCCATTGCGTTTGAATCCCGCAAGCTCGGGAAGGCAGAGGTTAATTACTCCGCCACCGAGCGCGAGCTCCTGGCGGTCGTCCACGCCCTTCGCGTGTGGCGTTGCTTTTTGGAGGGCGCCTCCTTTCGAGTCGTCACGGACCATTGTCCCTTGACGTACCTCAAGTCCCAGGTTCACCTCAGTTCCCGCCAGGCGCGCTGGTCGGAATTCCTTCAGCAGTTCGACTTTGCCTGGGAATATCGCCCTGGCCGCATCAACTGCGCCGACCCCCTGAGTCGGCACCCCGCTCTTGATCCGACCGACGACCATTCTGCCGAGCCCGCTTCGCCCACGGACGACACTCCGGCTCCCTCTCGTCCGGTTGCCTTCATTGCGGCGTTGTCTCGTCCCTCCCGCACCGGTCAGGGTCTTACCGGTCTCGCTCAGGACTTGGCGGATACCTGCACGACATACGCTGATCTCCAGTGTGACGCCGCTCGCTATCGGTTGGTCCGCCATGGCGGCCTTTGGTACCACGGCGATCAGGTCTTCGTACCTCCCTCTCTGCGTTTACGCATCATGGAGGCGGGTCACCGTCCCTCCTATGCCGGTCATTTCGGGGAGACGAAGACGGTCGACTTTATTCACCGTTATTATTACTGGCCCCACAGCCGTCGAGACATCGCGGCGTTCGTGGCAGGGTGTCATATATGCCAGGTCTTCAAGCCTCGGGCCGGTCCCTCCACGGGGGAATTACAACCTCTCCCCATTCCGGATCACGAGTGGGCCAGTGTTTCCATGGACTTAATCGTTCAGCTCCCTCGGACCACTTCTTTCCCTCACTACGACGCCATCGTCGTTTTCGTTGATCGATTGACCAAAATGGTCCACGTCGAGCCCACCCACAGCGCGATTGACGCCGCTGGCCTGGCCGACATTTTTATGGAGCGTGTTCATCGTTACCATGGGATTCCCGAGTCTATCATCTTGGATCGCGGCCCCCAGTTCACTTCGGCCTTCTGGCAGGCCTTATTGGCTCGCCTTGGTGTGCAGCCCCACCTCTCCTCGGCCTATCACCCCCAGACTGATGGCCAGACGGAGCGCATGAATTGCACTTTGGAAGATATGCTCTGGCGGTACATTGGGGCTGCCCATACCGACTGGGATCGCCTTCTCTCTTGCGCTGAGTTCGCCATCAACAATGCGAAACAAGAGAGTACGGGTTACTCCCCATTCTTTCTCAACTACGGGCGTCACCCTCAGACCCCTTTCTCTCAGTCGCTGCCCCTCAAACAGCGCACCTCGCTGCCCCTTCGCAGCAATGGCCGCAGCCTCCAGCGTCGGCCCGCCAAGGCTTGGGCTCAAGCCAACTTGCCTCAAATTCCCGGGGTCCCTGCCTTCCTCCAAGATCGGGAATCCGCGTTGCGCCGCGCCAAGCAGTGTTTACAGAATGCCCAACAGCGCATGAAACACTGGGCCGATCTTCGACGGAAGGCAGAGTCGTTTCAAGTGGGGGATCTGGTGCTTCTGTCCACCCAGAACCTCCACTTGAAACATCCCGGTACCAAGAAGCTCTTGCCCAAGTGGCTGGGTCCATTCCGGATTCAGACGCGCATCAATCCCGTCGCTTTCCGGCTGGACCTGCCTGTCGCCCTGCGCCGGTTGCACCCAGTCTTCCATGTTTCCTTGCTGCGCCGGTACATCCAGGGCCATTCGGTGTTGCCTCCTCCTCCTCCCCCGGTGCTTTTGGATGAGGAGCTTGAGTATGAGGTCGAGGCCCTCCTTCAGAAGACCATCGTCCGGCGTGGTCGCACCAGTCAGCCCTACTACTTGGTTAAATGGAAGGGCTATGATATGGGTCACAATTCCTGGGAACCTCTCCGCAACCTCACCCATTGTGAGGAAGCGTTGCAGCGCTTCGCACTCCAGGCTCAGCAGGACCCTTCGCTGATTCGTTCGCCCAAGGAGGCCTTTCAGCCGCCGCTTCGGCGCCCTCCGCCATCTTCGCGCTAGCCCTTGGCTGGTCCCCCTGCTCCTCTTGAGCCCCCCGTTTTGTGTATTGTTTTGCAGCCCTCGTCTCCGGCTGGATGAGCCTGCTCCCCCCTTCCCCGCTGTTCACCAGGCGGGGGTACTCACGGGACGCTCGATGGATCACTCGCCTGATTTGGCTGGAGCAGCGGGATCCTTGATCCCCCCCCTGCCTTTGGGGAGTACCTGGGGGACCTTTCTCCCCTTTCTTTTTCTCTTGCCCTTCCCCTCCTGGCCATTCAGGGGTTGCGGCGCGCATTGGGGACTATTGCGACCCCTATAGGGTGCTCGCATTGTCTCTTCTTGCTTGGTACGGGTTTAGAGGCCGGTGTTGCAGGGTTCTCCACGGATTCTCGGAGGGGGGATGTGCTGGACATGCCACCCCCTCCCTTGTTCCTCACTCCTTGTTACGCCTCTTGCCCATCTTGGGGGGGTGCAGTTTCGACTGTACTCCCCTATGTGTGTGTGCCTCTCCTGTCCCGGGCCTTCCCGGGAACCGCCTACGCCTTCTTCTGGGTTCCCCGTGGTTGCCTCTATTCGGAGTCCCTCTATACCGTGAGCTCCTAGGCCACTACGCCCAGCCTTGTCCGACGCATCCTTATTACCCACCTCCTTTGGGTTCGGCACATCACTGGTGCAAAATGTCATTTCACCTTTGCGCCCCACGCTGTTTCCTTCGCGGCTCCTTCCCGCGCTATCTCGGCTGTTCGTCGCCCCCGTACTCTCTTCGCCCCCCGTCCCTTCGGCGGGCTTCTGGCGCCACCTCCCCCCCGTTCACTGTACCTCCCGCTTCTCGCATCAGATTGCCCAGTCCTGTCTTCCTCGGACAACCAATCGTCGCGGGGCGCGACTAGGGGGGGGGAGTGATGTACCGCACTAGCCGGTACCCGGGGATACCGGCGACCCCCTACAGTAACCGGCCCAAGAGGGCTACGGTTACGACAGTGTAGGGGTTAGAGTGCTTAGACCGGAACTAGGGCGGTGGCCACCGGTACCTGGGGTACCCCCAGGTACCGGCGCTCGGGTGTGGCCCCAAGTACGTAGTACTTGGGGTCCGGTGCTAGGTCCCAGCTTAATGGCCTTCGAGCGCCCGCACCGGTACGCTCTCTCTCACCCCCTGTTGCACGCTGCCGCGCAACACGTTCGTTCTTTGCCGCAGTATCTCGCGGCCATCTCCATGGTGCACCATATGTCTGGGCACCTTGGCTTTTCTGCGTTTGACCCGGTCACCCGTGTCCTCACCCGCGCATAGCGTCGGGATGCGCCAGCCCCCGTGCAACATCACCGCCCTGTGCCCATCGAGGTGATGATTCGCATCCTCGACGTGGGATTGACCACGGAGGACGGGGCCTTCCTTCGGGCGGCGTGCGCGGCGTACATCGACTACATCTTTTTCAACCGGGCGCAATCGGGCCACTTCGTTCTGGCGGAGGACATTCGGGTGGCTGACGGGGTCGTTTTGTTTCGGGAACGCAAGTTCAAGCTGCACAAGGATGCGGCCCCTCGCTTGCGTTTTCGGTCCTGGCCGACCCAAGGCGCCCCGGAGGTCGTGGATCTCATTCTTCGATGGACGGCTTTCCGCGACCGCGCCTGGGCCCAGACGGACCAAGCGCCTCGCCATTTCTACCGCCTTCCGGGCGAGGCGTCCCCCAGCTCCAAAACGGTGGCCGCTTGGTTGTCGGACTTGCTGGCCAGGCACCCGACCATCGCTCGGGAACCTTTTACGCACCATGGCCTCCGCGGCGGCGGTGCGTCCAGCTGCTTCGCTTTGGAGGTCGCCGAGCGGCGCATTCGGGACTGGGGTGGCTGGAAGTCAGAATCCATGTGGTCGTACGTGGACATTTTTCGTTTACCCACTGAGTGGGACTTTCGTTTGTTCGGGTGGATGACGATCACCGCCCGCGACCTCCACGCCCAGTTTGGGCACATTTTCTGCCCCGGAGGTGCCTCCCGTGCCCTTGGAGAGTGAATGGGCAAACTGTTAAGTACGGGGACCTCGGGTATGTGGAGTTGTTGGTGATGGACACCTTTGTTGTAATGTCTTGTCATGTGGGAAACATGACCGGGTGGGTTCAGGAGACCGGTCAGGTGGAAATAGGCATTACCACAACCTTTCCAGAACTTTGACATCCTTGCAATCACACTCATTGTGGACCGTCTCTTCCGTTAAGGTGACTAATGCTTTTGCAATTGTCAACTTCAATGGTTGGCCACATTGGCACCGACCCAGGCCGTTCGCAGGTTACTGTCAGTAAGCACAACCATCCTAAACTTGGTGCACCGGTTAGGTCAATGCTCTTGCACTACTCTAGGTGCCTCTTGGCCTTCAGCCACAACACACGCACAATTCCTGATGACACCCATAAATCTGCGGCAAGCCCGCATCTTTGCTCTGTGGATTTTGCTTCGAAATTGGCGGAATCTTCAGTACATACCAAACTACTGGGCCAATCATCTTTCCTGGAGTGCTCTCAGCTCGATCCACCTCCTTTCAAGGGCAAGGCGAGCTCCCATGCCCCGCTCTAGGTCCCAACACAAGGAAAAGTGGCGTCTCCGCTCCTCTTACATATCTCAAGAACAAAAGCACCGTTTTCCACACTGAAGGGCTCTAAAAATAGCTGTCAATATGGCGCATGGAAGTTGTTTCAGTCAAAATTTTGGACTCGCACGTTTTGACCTCCGTTACGCCATTTGGGTAAGGGAATATAATTGTAAAACGAAGCTAGTATCTTCCGTTCTTGCTGTTATCATCAATTCTTGCTATTATTACTAGTATTAGTGTTGTTAGTGGCACTCTATCAATATTGCAATAATCAATAATCAATACTGCACCGTATCAATATCGCAATATCAATATTGCAGCATTATAACTCTTCCAAACTGGAAGTTACATGGAAAGAGCCGGACGAATGTCAGACATTCCCACAGTTGTCGTGCTGGCCATCACATACAACAGATGGACGGCTTGCAGCTGGGCAGGCAGCCAGCACACACAAACGCCAAGTGTGAGTGGATAAACAACATTCACAACTTTGTCACAAACTGAGTCAGAAACGTTGCCTGACTGGGCGGTCCGAGCCAGGGCCCAATGCACAGCCACCAAAACTCGGATCGAAGAGAGAGCAGGCGTCACTGGTGCTGCGGCGCCCTGCCCACGCTGATCGTCGCCCGCATGGGCAACGCGAGAGGCACTCTTCATAACCTTGAAAGTGTTGGACTGATTTCAGCCCACTGGATAAGTGCTGTCAAAGGATTGACTGACTGCAAGGTGCAGTCACAATGCAGTCACAGATTGACAGATTGCAAGATGCACACCTGATGCAGGGGCATGCAAGGTGCCCACCAGTCACAAGGCCCATGCAGGTCATCCCCTCGATCAAGCTCGAGCAATCCCATCAAAATGGCACCCCGGCAACTCAGGAATCCCACCAGATAAGCACCCGCTACAATCCCACAAGCCCCCATCGAGGCCTCCCTGGCTGACCAAATTCGATGGGGACTATCAACAACAGGAGGCCACCTTGTCAGGGCCAAGGCGCCACCTGGCAACAGCTCCCACCCAGCGCCCATCAGCATCTCCATGTGGCAATCCGCATGGCTCTGCATCCCATGCAGATACTAGTTGGCAACCCATCCCTCATGGGCACCCAGATGGATTATCTTTGTCCTCTGTCCTATCTGTGTCCTATGTCCATGGACAGACAGTGTTTGAAGAAAAGCCTCCTCAAGGGGCGGAAGCTTGCCTTCAAATGTGCCTCATCAATATGGCACTTGCACCACGGATATGAATCCACCCCTTGCTTACCCTTTCGGTGTGCAACCGAACAGGTGCCAACATCGAAGTGCCCGAAAAATGTTCCTCTGTTCCCATTTCTAAAATGATGCTGGCCTAGTGGAGTACTGACCTGAAAGAGTGAGCTCAGTGGCTACTAACAAGGCGATTGAAGCTGTGGTCAGTGGTTTGGGTGGCTTACCCATCCTCATTGTCTGGCGTGCCCGCCATGAGCATCTCCCATATCATGCACTGCAGAACATCGCCCCGTGTCAAGATGCCCACCACCTGGCCATCTATACACACTGGCAGGCGGTTTACCTGCAGACACACAGCACAGACAACGAAAAAACACTCAAATGGAAGCAGGAAATACTTTGCAGGAAAGTCGTGATATATTTCGAATAGATCAAAGAATTGACCACACAGCTCTTGGTGTTGGCAGCAAAAACGTAGTTGGCCACGACTGAATGCTAATCATGGGCGATGATTAACCATTTGTTGAACGATCATTGATTATCAACTGAATAATACGCGGTGTGAATAACTGAGTAACTGCTTGGCCGTGAAAGAACGCAATGATCTGCGGCAGGTTTGAGCTCTTTGGGTCCATCTTCCGCCAATTGGAAAGATGAAAATGTGCACACAAGGATAAATTTCGGCATCACTCAAGGCCAGCGATACACTTGCTTGGTACCAAGATGAATATCTGCGAAGACCAGAATCTGCAGCCTCAGGCAGGCCCAGCATAAGAAAGCAACGTGTGAATCTTCAAGGCTTTACCAGTTGGGCGCCACCACAGATCTGGGCATGCCTTTCAAGGCCCTGGGAGTCTCTCACAAGCAGTATTTGCAATACAGGGGGCGTTAGTGCCTGGGGTTGTCGCAAATGATGAAAGGACTTCCTACTGGTGCATGCCATCAAAAAAATCACACCGCAGAAAACATACATCATCTGATGGTTGCCTTGTTTTCACTTGGAAGTCTGTTCCTTTTCCCATGCAGCCTCCATTCTCAGTGCCTTCCCACAGTGCACAGGTTTCAGCAGATGGCAATTAGCCAGAGTAAGACAGCCTGGTTGCCCATTCGAATGGGACACACGTTCATCTGGAGACAAATGTGCTCAATACGAACAAAGTGATTATATTGCAGAAGGGCAACAACAGGATGCCATGGATTCAAGAGAGCACAATCTGGACACAGTCAGCCAGCAATTCACCTGCTTCTCGATCATGAGCTTGGCTGCATGCACCACAGGGGTTCCAGGCTCCACGTAGTACGGGTCTCGAGACATTAGCTGACCCACAGGTTGCTCTAGCAGGGCCCGAATGTCTTCGCGATCTGAGTCGGCCACAAACAGGGGAAGAAATTTGATGGGCACAGGTTCCCTCGCAGAGCCATCAGCTCCCGTGTTCCCTGGCAGACCACCGCAATCCTTTCATCACGATTGCTCCGGGCAAGTCATTCTAAGCACCACATTCAAACAGTTCTGCTGGTGGTCTTGTTGACTATAGCTTAAAACTGCAACCTAGGGAAGGTATGAGCCAGAACATCTGACCAGAGCACACCTGCCTACAATCGCTGTACAAAAGATGATAACATGCAGTGCTTGCAATATAAACACAGCTGGTGATCTGTAGACATTAGTGGAATGTTGTGGAGACTACAAATGCAACTGGAAGAGCGCGGACACTGGAAGTCCACTGTAGACGCTATCCGCGTGTTGTGTTCACTGTTAATACTCTATGGACAATGTAGATGCCATGCAGCATGTTGGAAGCACTGAAAGACCCTTGACTGTGGAAGCATACCATGACTCCAAATATTCATCACTGTCGGGTTCATTAATTGCCCTCTCCCTGCATCAGGTTTGTCCCATATCAACTCATTGCACTCACGCATTTACTCTTGCAATGCAGAGTGTGCCCACTAGCGAATGTTGCAAGACCACCACTGGTTTGGAACACACCTTGTGACAGTCATCAGTGACAACATCTGTAAGATGAAAAGGTGGTGCTCTGGTGTGTTTGAGGTTCATGGAAAACGTGACACAAATCTTGGGGCGCTGCAGTTGGACAGAGACAAGGAAGATGAACTAAATTCGCTCACTTCATTCAGCTGACATGCATAACCAACGGATGATTGTGTTTTATTGCTGACTAATTGGGACCTTGAATCAGGATTCAATGTGCGTTGCCCTCAGTACAAATACTGAGAACCACAAAGAATATAAGGTATGGATACAAGCACATGTAGGGCTCTCAGCGTGCTTATTACAACAAGTTTGCCAAACTCACCCGTGTCAGTGGCAATTATATCTGTCTCTGACAGCACGCCGACGATTCGCCCTACCGCATCCACGACTGGTGCGCCCGATATGCCATTGCTCAAGAACGCCTGCATGGCCTTCCTATCACACCAGAAACACTTGCCAGTTGCTTGCTGAAACAATGGAAGCCTTGAGATTATCTGCTTGGTAGATGCCAGCCAAGCCAGGTCAACATTAACAAACGATGTCAACTGACTTGCTCGGAAGTCCACACAAGTTGTGCACCAGCATCTGCTGTCAATTTGTCCCCGTTGCACTATTTAGTTTTCAAAACCTCTCCAAAGTTACAGCATTCATCTTTCTTGCAAAGTCCAGGTGCCTTGGTTTCTCCCTGGGTCGCTTCACATCTTTCCTGGTCGCTGTTTGCCCACACTATTGCATAGCAACCCAATATTCTGACGGGACAGAGTTCAGGTTGGGCATTCAAGTACGAAAGCAGCCAGATGACGACGCCTTGTGGATATGATCAAAATGTCCTGTGTGGGAATGCCATGGACAGCATTTGTTGACCAGACATCACAACCCCCTGCAACTTCCAGGCCATGACAGGTGTAGAAAATCTCATGGCATTACCAAGATTCAACAATAAATAACTACACTATTGTTACAAGCTTAAACACTACAAACAACATGAAATGCAATGTAGCACAAATGCACAATATTACCATTTACTACAGTTGCTGCAATTTCATTGTACAACTGCCTTTTTGACTTGTTTTACATCCAAATTAGTGTTGACATACTCTTGTGGGTATTTCTTTCCATAGCATTTGCTGGCATTTACAATTCATACCCAAGGCATTGAACGTCAACGTGGGCATCCAATGTGTTGTGCGTCAAACTGCTGATTTGAACCCCAAAATCAGGAATCCAAAACGAAACTTCATGCAGTTTCCCAGCTGCCCAAGTAGCTCATGGTGCATCTAAGTATATTCTTTGGTTCATAATGTAAACTCAATAGTTAACTTTGCAGGACAAATTGGTGGCTTTGCAACTTGCAGGAGATGACAGGCATGTGCATACAACAGACTGTTATGTGCCCCCTTCTTGCATTTCTATGCTCTGCACCCTTCTGCAATGCAAACGGCGGTCAAAGATGGTGCATCAAGCCGGCATATGGCCCACTAATGCATGAGGAATTAACAAAATTGGTTGGATGTTGATGCATTCCTAACAACGTTCAGTGCGCAAGCACCTTGTTTGTCTTGTGTTTTGGAGATTGTGCACTACTGACCTCGGTATACCCTCCTACCTTATGGGCATGTCCTCTGTCAGCACAACGACATCCCTGTTCATCACCTGCACAACACGTCCAACACAGCCCGCTGCAGCTTCTCTGGTGATTCTCAATTTAGTATTGACTGTTAAACACTTTTCAACAACTTTTGCTTCATTTTCATTACTTCCAGAGATGAAAGTGCATGTATGCAAGTATGAACCTTGAGGATTCCAAGTTTCCTACTTTATTGGTGCTTAAGCATGCTCAAAGTAGTATACTTGAATTATGTACAATAGGGATCACGCTGTTTTCACCTATTCCCTAATTCTTACTTCCAACATCTTCCAGGTGCTTTCAGGCATTGTATTGTGCTGTGTCACAAGCAAGACAGCCACATCATTTTTGAATCCAGGGACTCCCTCCGGTCAGCTGCCTTTGCGGTGGCTGTTTGCATCCCACCCAGTGGTAGATTTGAGTCAACTGGGGTTGCCAGAAGCCAGGAGATCACTGTATGCCTGGTTTCTGCCAGCACTCTTTCATGGCCCTCCACAACCAGGAGCAACACAAGCTGTCCTTGACACACAATTCCATTATGAAAACGCCAAATGCAATCATCCGTTTTGACAGTTTTGGGTCAACACATGGGATCACTCCTGCAGCTGCCAGGCAGTGTCAAGAGGTTTTCCGCATTCGCAAATGCCAGTGCCCAAAACGACTTTGCCGTCACAGGCAGTCCTGCACTGATCACACATATTAAAATGTGGCATTTTGTTCCCTTCAACTTCGAGGCGATGCTGGGCAGGTGTTGGGCGACATCACCACTCGCACAGCTGCAAAACTTGGCACTGCAGGGGCTATTCATGTATCTTAGTTTTGTTGAACTCCCTTGGCACCAGAAGGACGGAGTCCAAGGTCCATTCCTCCTATGTTTCAGGTGGATGACGTTGCCCCAGTTCAGGGGATTGGGTTCAAGGCGGCGGTGGATGCGTTCAGAAATTTGAAGGCAATGGAGAGAGGCATTAGCACTTTCTGATGCCGGCCCTCAATGCAATCTGATAAACAACAGCAACAACAACCGCTCATGCAGGAGGGCGGATAAAACTGTGGAAATTTCGTGCATGCCATTATTATGTCAATTTCTGCGACGTGCAAGCCGCGCACCGTGTTCTTTCGACAAGTTCAGTCAACGGAGTTACAGAATTGTTTATTTGCAGATTTATTTATTTACAAATTTGAAGATTTACAGATTTACAACAGTACCCACAGAATCCAGCCTCTGAAACCAGCAAATTCGTCCCACAGAGATGCAATTAATGCCCAACAAATGGCAACACGCAACGTGATATAAAACGCAACAAACAACACGACAAAGTGTTTCAATCCCACACAAATACGGCCCTTCCTCCCCTCCACCCCCCCCCCGCTCCCTTTCCTGCCATTGTGTCGCTTGCGTTGTGTGTTATCATTTCGCATCGGAGACTCTATGTCATCTTGCAACTGCATGGAAAAGTGTCTTGCACACACTTGATTAGGAGGGGGTTGCCTTTGCATGACCTGATTCTTTTTCTCTCTGTAGCAAATCTTACCCCCCACGAACCCATATCACTATATCACCTTTTCACATCAAGGAACAGAGTCTTGCACTTGCTTAGGATGGGGTGTCCTTTGTACACCCTGTTTCTTTCTCTCCGTGTAACGATTCTCGCCCCCCTCCCCTTTCTGCCGCCTGTCGAGAGGTACCCTGAACAAATGCACTGTGTGGTGCTGTTCCACGGAGTTGTCCTCTTGAGATTGTGGGGGTAGTGGGGTGACACACATGGCAGCCCTGGACGTGCCATGATACATTTTGCTGGGCCAAGTATTTGCTGGCATGGCACAGACAGTGACAAGCACATCTTCGTCGCAACACCATTTGTAGGAAACCTTTTGCTTCTTCCTCCCGCTCCTCTCCATTCGACCGACCTCACCTGGCTGACCGCCGGATTCAAATTCTCCGGGTCGAGCGCCGCGTCCGAAATTGACCCCTCCAGCGCCGACGCCCTCAGCCGCTCATCCCCGCCACCACCCCGACCGCTCCAATCCCTCCTCCGCGACAGCTCGCGCAACCTCCGCCCCAAACGAATCCCCGGAATCCGCGAGGCCGCGCCGAGCGATCGGCGCGAATCGATTCGCCCTTCGATCGACCTGCCGGAGGGCCTTTTGAATGCGGATGCCTGGGGCAGGGACCGCGCGGCGGCGGGGAAGTTTTGCAGCTGGTGTAGGCTGGAGGCGCCAGGCGGCAAAGGGGGAGGAGGCCCCATGGCTGGGGGTGGGGGTCGCGTGGTGGGGTGACAGGAACGCTGTGGCGCGGGGTGTGTAAATACGGAACTGTGTACGAGCTTGTAAATATGGTCATACGGTTATATCGCTTGCGTATTGTTGTGGCGCTTATAGGCGACCGGAACACATGAGAAAGTCGCAACAGCGGTCAGCACTCAGCCCCCTCGGGCGCTCCCAACACAGCGTCCATTTAGCCCTTGGCAAGGGCAACGACGTTGTCTGGAACAGGGCCGTTTTTCGCCCACTCCAGTGCGACTGGATGCCACTCCCCGGACTGTCTGATTGTGTACGCACTGCGTTCATGTACACAGGGCCTGCATTTACGTCTTTTCACGCGCTTTTACGCGCAGAGGCGTTAATGTTACTCTTATGCACAAATACGTAAATGCGCGCTGTATTCACGCCCTAAAAACCGAGTACCTGGCAAATGCGGTTGTGCGGGGCAGAAATCTTGGCACCAAATGCGAATGATGCCAATGCGGGAACATTCAGCAAGCAGCGACACTAACGCCAAGACTCGCCATCATTGGTGCATGAGCATTGCTGTTATATTTCCCACCAATGCAGTAAATGCTGCTAATTAACAATAATACTTTTAGTAGTAAGGCGTACACAGTTAAAAGTAAAAGGCCTATTGAAGCATCCACCCACATCGAGCAGATGTGACGAATAAATACCAAATGCAACCAGCAATGATAGTAAATGGTAATCTCCAGCATCAAGCCGCATCGAGCCCCAGCATTCCAAAAGTCAACAGAATTACACCCTCCTTCACTGTGTGACTTTTGCGGTCCGACATCATATGAAGGGCGACAGACCCCCGGCCATCCACAGCTCCACTCTGAACGCCCCAGACCGCTCTCCCGTCCTGGCCATGCCGTGTGTTTTGACCGTACACAGCGATACATCTGTTGTGTATCCGCATACAAACGGCCACAGCAGTACAACGTGGCCATTGCACGACAACCGCGTGCCCTCTCCTTATCCCCCCTCTCCCCCCCCCACCCCCCACCCCACCCCCACACACAACAAAAAGCAAAAAAGAAAGAAAGCAATAGAATGGCGACCCATGCGCTCACAGGCCGTGCCCCTCCTTTCCTCAATTGAATTTCGCGTCGCCGCAATTCGCGTGCGTCCCTGCCAAGCATCGCAGATCGCCGCTTTCCTGGCGGCGCGCCACGCCATCACAGCGCCAAGCTCTTAAGGGGTCCCCACATCCAGCCTCACAGGGGGTCCCTCCCTGCCCAGGGTCATCCAAATTCCTCAAGGCCTCAAACAAAAGCGGAAAGCAACGTGCCGCTCCAACAGCCACCCCATCAGCCCAGTCCAGTCGCTCCCTTCGATCTCGGATAGCCATGCAAGCAACATCTCCACTCGCTAAACGACGCGGCCGACGCCCGCCGCGTCGATGGGCGCTGCCAGGTCTGCCCGGCCCCGCAACAGACCGCAGGGAAGAATGCCGCCGCCATTCGCTCCAGCCTTTGGCACAGCCAGCCGCCCGCGCCAAAACATCGACCAACCTTTGCAAAGGCTGCCGAAAGTTTCACGACTCAAGGTTGCCAACGCTGAAGCGTGCCGGGGACCCCCCCCCACCATCATCAAAATCCATCGATTACATTTGCCATTGATTACATTTGCCATCCGGGCCCTCCCATGAAAGGAACGTGCTTCAGGTGGTTGCGATAGCGGCCTCCACCGCGCTGTGCCAGGCGTCCGCTTCGTCCTGCTCCTCATAGTTCTTGATCGGGTAGGAGGCCATGAGGGCGATGCCGCACTCTCCCATGCCGCCGTCCATGCCCATCCTGAACTTGATGTACCCCTCGTCGCCCCAGTCCGCTCCCCAGGAGTTCTTGATGATCCAGTAGCCCTCCTTGTGCCGGGTGTTGCTCTGGTAGCCGACGACCAGAACGCCGTGGTCAAGCTCGGTGCCGCACGGCTCGTCGTAAATTCCGCCGGCGTAGAACTGAAACGCCATGCTGGAGGCGTCTATCGCCACGCTGACGGGCTGCGGAGGGGCAGTACATTGCGTCAGTACTTCTGTCGCCGGGGCCGTTGGACGGGAACGACATGTGGTGCGCCTTTTAGGGTAGCGCGATTCGGTGTCGTCCGTTGATGACTATAAGACGGAGAATCGTGTTTTGGAAAAAGGCCCAAATCAACTCAAATCAACGCAAGCCAGCTTGATTCAGCCGTTTCTCACTCGGATTGCACCACATGAACTCTATCTTTCTGAATGTCTTGTTCCCGAATTATGTTGACATCAACTATCAAAAGTAAATGATTTTGTCATGATATTGTTCTTGATCTGCTGAAACAATTCGGCAACATCCAAAAATAGAAAGATCTACTGTGAAGGAGCTATTTGGTACAGCGACTCGCGCAATCGTCACATCATTTGTGCGCAACTTTGCATTTCAGTGAGAATTTTCGAGCTTTGATTGAATTTGTCCCAAAAGGCCACATTCTTCAACAGCGTTGGCGCCGCACCTTGCCATGTACTTTGTTTTGCTGGACGCTACTTAGCGCTTCAGTCGTCATTGACTGTATTCATCAATGAATGGCAAACCAACGTCCTTTTCATTTTCAGCCGCTGTGTCGCGTAGGTGATTTCCACGAGTGCTTTAGTCGACGCGCCTCCTCGTTAACATTTGCTACCAACATTAGCTCTCGGTTGGTGGTGTTGCCTGGGCGGTAAGGGCTCAAGAGCCATTCATCTCTCGACATCATTTTTGAATCGAGAAGATCCCGTTTTGAGAGAAATGAAGCGCCGGACGCCCCAGACACCATACGTATCTTTTGTCACGATGTGAACCAAACTTTGGCCCACCATATTCAACACGCATACTTAATACCTTCACTGACATTTAGTATGCTCACTCATATTGGAATGCGACGGGCGACTCAATACTTCGCATTCCAAGCGGCATGCAGGTGAAAACCAGTTCAATCCCCACCTGCCCCGCCACCGCCCTCTTCAGTGCGTGCTCCGTTTGCTGCACGTCCTTGTACCCATCGATGGTGCCGTAGTACAATTTCTCCTTCCGCCTCTTGCACCCCTCATCCCACCCCTTGTATTTGTAGTCGCTCTCCAGTGTCAGGCCGTGCTGCACGGTGAAGTTAAACGCGTCGTCCATTGTGCCGCCGCCGCAGCCGTAGTCCTGGGTCACGCAGTCCACCAACTCCTGCTCGCTGAGGGAAAAAAGCATTCCCGTGTTGATGGCGTTGATGCTCTCAACGGCGCCCACCGCTGAGAACGCCCAGCAGCTGCCGCACTGCGCCAGACATGCCACCAGTGAAAATAGTATGCTAGTATAAGTAAGCTTTTAGGCTTACTTACAACAGTGTAATAAAACTGTGTAAGTAAAACTGACAAAGGCAGCTCGATCTGGCACCATTTTCGACGAGGCTGATCTACTAATACATCATTCCAATCAGTTTAACGCGATTTCGAAACGCAATTTTTTCGCCCAACGCTGCCATTTCTCGACCGGAGCCGCAGGGGAGACTGCGCCCAAAGAATCTGTGTATAATTGTTCCAAAAACACTCGCAACGAGTACGCATTTTGCCCTCGCATTAATTCCTTGAATCAGGGCTTTCTCCATCCTAGATTGAATTCTAGAACTTTCGTCGAAATGTGTACCAGATCTTGGATATGCAAAAGATTTGGTCGGGGTGTGAATGTCCAACATGCGCTCGGCCCACTCCGTGCGCACCTGGTCATACAAATGTGTATATTCATATACTTAGTATATTTAATATATTCTATTAGTATCTAATATAAATTGATATGTAATATTCATATATCGCAAATATTCGAGAATGACTGGCCACATTTGCGAGATCTGGTTCTGCCAGCGACGTGCCCATAGAGTACTCACGCCCCCCTGATCCTTCACTTCCGTGACGACACCATATTCCCTCCAGTCAACGAAAGCGGGCGAATTTGGGGATATTTCCAAGTCGTCGTCGGGACCGTCGACTTCCGAGGGCCTCGCCCTATTCCTGGACAGCCGCGTGCCTCGCAGCGCCTTGTACTCCTCGGGGTGCATGTCGGCCAGCCTGTTGAGGGAGAGCTGCAAGGTGGGGCACACCCAACAGTAAATGAATGTGACTGAGTACTCCTATTGCTTTTTTCTTCTTCATTTATTTCAAAAAATGAAGCCGAAAGACTTGCGGCTCTGCACAGGGCAAGAGAACGAGATTCAGCTGGAGTTCAATGTGATGGCAACACTTGCTTTGGTTTGTACCCACGATCCGTGAAAGCGTTGCACCACGAGCAGGGAATGGCACAGTCACAAGCTTGAATCAGCGGGTTGCATGTGTGCAAGGACGAGACAAATCACTGTCATTAGACCTTCAATGCGAGGTCGGGATAAGTCCATGCACGTTTTCTGTTCATACCATTCATTTTCCGTGTGCAAACACGAGGCATCTTTCTGCGCCTTGCCTCCGCAGCGGCTGGGTTGTATGCGTTCGAGGGCACTATGCAGTCACTGCATAGTGCCCTCGGACGCAGTACACGGTGTTCAGGCGGACAAACGTGCGGGGGGTGTTGTAGTTGAATGTCGGCTACCCAACACATGAAAGCGAAGCCTTACATCTATAAACCCCCCCCCCCCAAAAAAAAGAAAAAAGAAAGAAAGAAAGCAAAAAGAAGAAAGTGACATTGGGAAGCACCAGCTTTCTGCCATCGGAGCTGAGGGGCGGGCGCTCTGAGTCCTAAACCACAACCCCCAGTACTTATTGGCCACTTTGTTCCGCACTGATTCAACCACGCACTTTTGCCACCCGCTCGACATTCTTGACTAGCGGCGGGGGTGCTGGGGTGCCTTGAGCTTCGTGATCGCGCCCTGGGCCTCTCCCCCCCCCCCCTCCCCCCGGCGGTGCTGGAGCAACGGCGGGACAGCCGCGAGCGCTGTCCGCGACACCTACCCAGTGCGAGCTGTGCTGGTCGTTGTAGTCCATGATGTACTCCAGGTTGTACAACCAGGTCTTGAACCGCGTCTCAAACTCCTGCATCCGGCCAACCCAAGGGAACCGTCAACGCTCGGTGCGTCAGCCCAGTTCCCCAGGCCGGCAAGGGCAATGGCGAACAGGACAATCTTTGTGGGCCAGTACGAGGCCTTGCATGACGCGGAGGGGGTGACTTGCTGACACGAGATCGGCGATCGCTCTGAGACCAATCTCAGAGAGCCATCAAAGCTGCCCATTTTGAGCACAGGACGGAATCACGACGTTGATTTTGAAGAGAGGTGGTATTGCAGCGGCGCGTCGGTGGCGGTTGGGCTCCCACCTCGGTGCCTTCCTTGTAGCCCTTGCCGTGCTTCTCCACCCACGCGGAGAAGGCCTGGCGTGGGGACTCCTGCACCATCGGCGCGGGGTAAGCGTCACGGGTTTCGAGCACGTCGGGAGGACAGAGACATCGAAAGCTGATAGAGGGCCGGGCCGGGGTTGGGAGCCCACGGCCGGAAAGCAGCCAAGGTCGGCCAAAGGGCGTGGCCTGGTTGCCCCGACTTGCGGGCTCCACGAAATCAAGCCAGCATCAGGTCGCAACTGCAGAGGACCGGCCTCAGGGTGTCTGTGACAGTGCGGCAGTGGGGAGGGGCCACGTGCGGGTATTGGGAATACAGCCCCAGCGCTACCGTTTCAACTAATCCACAACAAGACAGGCCAGGAGTCAGCCATGGAAGGGCCTCTATAGACTGGAGCCTCCGTGAGAAGCTGACGTTGATGCAACCGCGCGGCTGTGCAGAGGGCAGGATGAGGACAGGCCCCTTCCTTCGGCTTGCGCTGCGCACGCCTCTCGTCATCTCCTGCTTCGAGAACGGAATGCCTGCGAGTCCTGGAAGAGATGGACGCCGGCAGATCGAACACCACGATCACTGATCTTCCCGCCTGCCCCGCGCGCACCTTGGCCACGCGGAGGTGCTCCTCGTCCTTCGACCGGTCCGCGGATGCCGCCGCGACCGCCAGGCAGCAGAACAGCACAGCGGCGACGATCGGCGGCCGCATGGAAAGCATGATGGCGCCCGTGCCCCTGCGCGAGAGGCAACTTGGCGGGCCTGCTCGCTGCGAAAGGCAGACGCAGCTGGGAAAGGGGTTTGGGTGGGACTGGGGTCTTGAGTTGAATGGGAGGAGCACTTGATAAGGGCCGGCTTGGCCCTATGGGGGAACCCGCTCCTGGGGATGGGGCGCCCAGTGACAGACTTGGGAAAGAGTGGGTGGACAAAGGGGGAAGCGGCACAGCGGAGGCGAGGGTGCGATGGGACAACACGACGCTGACTGTGGTTGGTTTCATCATCTGCGGGTGCCGCGAAGTCTCCGCGATTGATGACGGGGGGTGCGCACAACTGTGGGGGTTAACCCATGTACCTTAGCCGCGCCAGGCGGATGCAGACCAGGCCTGTCCTGCTGCGGAGCCGTAATGCCAGACCAGCCGTCACAATAGGCTGGTGGGCGTCGAATGCGGTCCCGAACTTCGGAAGACACCACGGTCGCCTCCTTCTCCGCAGGCAAAACGGGATGGGGCACACACCGTCCGAGGACAGTTCAGAAGGAAAGACACATGCACAGCAGCGATGGTGGACCCAGAAAGATTTGTTACAAGAATCTTCCAAGCGTATTTATGTAACAAAGAGGGTGTCCCAGTACCCAGTCCTAGCTACCTTTCGAGAAGCTTCCAAAGCTACAACCCCCATACAGACCTCCCTGCGCTCGTCCCCAGACGTCTCAAGTTCTCCAACACTTGTCCATGGTAAAACCCATCATACGTTCCATACAACGGGCTCAATTTCAGTCCCAGCGAGTGATTCCAGTCCCCAGCAAGCAATTCCAGCCCCCAACAATCACGTTCAGTCCCAAGTACCTCCCTCCATAATGATCCAGTAATCAAATCAGTCAAATCAGTAAAATATGATGACGCCAATAATGCCCGCCAATGCAGTCCATAGTCCCGGCCTTGGCACTCCACCAGAACGAACGTACGCAACTAAAATAGCTTACTAATGGCGCGTTCTAATCTCAGTTCTCCATTCCCAGCTTAGGGCTCCGTTCCAGCTTAGTCACACGTAGGGGGGACGCACAGTGGGGCTTGCAGCAAGGGCGGGTCTCTTCAGGTGAGCTCCTGGACACCAAACAACAAAACAGGACAATTAGTAAGCCTTTAACTTATTAATTCCAGGCCGTGCTCAGCAACTCAAACAAGGTTGCAGCAGATCGGATCAACCAATCAAACAGCTAACAATACACGACCTCAAATAGTTCATCTAAGTGTGGTTACTTAGAAAATCGCCACACAAGCAGAACCCGGCCAGGGTTTTGGCGAAGGCTGTGTGTGGGATTTCCGGTGATGGGACCGCTGGTAATCCAACAGTAGTTAGCAGCCACACTGGTGTTCTGTACACTGGTAGTGAGTACCTCACTTACCCATTTAATAAGTACCACTTACACTGGTAGTGAGCACGTACTCACTGGGTGATGGGGCACGATGTGGGCCCCTGACCGGGATCCATGGGCTTTGAGGCTGTGGTGCAACGACTCGTCCTCTGTGGGCTGACTGAATGTGGAAAATTTTCATGAAAGATAACTGCCTTCATTACCTCAAACGTTTGCGTTGCCCCAAAACCCTCCGAGCAAAGTCCGGTAGCAAATGACATAAAAACTATCAGAAAAAAGGAGAGAAAATATCAAAAAACCCGTCACTCTCCACGCCCTTGCCAGCAATTGCTGCTGTGTTCACCGAGGGCATTGCGGCCCCTTCTCCAGGCTAGCGGCGTCTTTATGGGTTGGATCTCAGCTTCGCGGCAAATTTGTACGTGCAGTTATGATGACCATGGTGCACATACCGTGAAAGACACGTCTCGCCGCCAATAAGAGCGAGGTTGCTTTCCTCACTTGGGTGAAAATTGCTGCAGTTAAATTTGGTGAAATTCAGTGCCATGCGCATAACAGATGTTGTGAGGTGGACTATATGACCCCTACCAGGGAAACCTCTTACGCGTGCTGGGGACAGTCTGGTTGGCTAAGAGTCCGGTGGTACAATTGTACTTCGAGGTATCGGAGCCAAAGTTGTGCCAAAGGTGCGCAGTCAGAGTTCATCATCCTGAGCTCACAGTGGCTGAATGATGAAGGATTGTTGCACTGCGCCTTCTAGAGGTGTCGGTAATCCTGGTTGGTCTTCGATACACAAGTTGGGTCAAATCTTCTATTTGTGCTTGGTATGTTTATATAAATACAAATACCACAATCTGCACACCGGCAGACATCGCAAGGATACATACTCTATGAACTCAGCCAGCTTTTGAATACACGTTTGTGCTTTCAACACAAAAGCAACGATTGGAGACTTTTTAATTGGGGCCCTTGTACGTTTTCCATCTGTAAAGAAATCAGAAAGTTTGCCGAGAGTTCAAACAACACCATTCACTATTTTTTTATCCAAAATTGGATCAGAGAATAATATGAGAATTTGGTAAATGCCCTCAATTTTTTATGAAAAGATGACTAACACAGGCCAAAGGGCATTCTTCTAAACCCACACAAATTGGGCCAATAACCAGAGAGTTTTTAAAGTACTGCCCAATACCTCGCAAGACGGGGCCTGACCGAGTCGCCCTCTGACAGAAAGAGCGCAGTGTTTTATTTGATGCCACCGATTTGGCCGCAAGTCAGAACCGCTTTTACCCAATTAAAGATTCTACAGGACTGATACTTGGTCTGTACGGCGTGCTAGCGCTCTACGTACTGCTGTAACGCTCCTGTACTGCTGTGTTTTAGCATTCAGTGCTGTACCACTCGACCGTCTATTGAGACCGTGGATTCGACCGCCCAACGATCAATTCAGTCCATGGACTAGAAACCCAGACAATAAGTATCAAAAGTACAATGCACGAATCAAAGAAAAGTAAATTGAAATAAATGTACAAAATAAAGCAATAAAATGGGCCAAATTCACGATCACGGCGAACTTAGAGGGAGCCGCCGCAATGGTCGAGGCGGCTGAATGCGTTGAGTTTTTGCAGTTTTACTCGATTTATTGGTCTATTTTTGTTTTGTTTCCTCCGTCCAGCAATTAAATGTCCGGATATGTTTGGGAGCTCAATTGTATATCACACCTTATATCTTTCCCTGAAGACACAAACAGAGCACCTCCTAGAAGGTTACTGAATGATCTCAAATTTTCCAACGCACAGTGAAGTACAAAGGACTTGGCAGAACCTCAGATCTCACTACTCTGGACCAGAATTCGAACTGTATCAGCATTCACTGACCACGCCGGAAAGTGGCATTTCGGATCCCGCGAAGTCCCACTCAAGAGCGGCGTGCCCTCCCTGGGAATTCGCGGTGCCAAGAGGGTTGTGCTGCCAACTTTGATCGTGCACTATCCCTGCTGTTAGCATCGATCGCGCTGAACAGCAGCAAGAAATGGCTGTTGGGAACGTTCCAGCCATCACCAATTTCCAAAGATCCGGGGCCTCTTGTGCAGGGACGCGCCGACACATTAAAGATCGGGCTTTGCCAAGAGGTTTCTAGTGTTGATGGGACAGACTAAAGAACAGCTGCGGGCGTCCGACTAACTCCGTTTGCTTGGGATCTCCAATTCGCGGCCTGCTTGGTCTCAAAACAACTCTTCTCAAAAAGACATGAACCTCACCGAATGCGACGCCGGAAGTTGTGGGCATACACTTTGAGGCCCCGATGTCTGTGCGGTGGCCGCACTTGCATTCTGCGTGGCTGGCGTGGGATATCTTGTGAGAATTTGCTTCAAAGCGGCAGACATGGAACTGAAAATGCAACTTGTTGCAATGCACGCAACAGCCATTTTCTAGCAATGCTTTGGTCTTTTCACTGCCAGGCGACCACCGTCTCCTTCGAAAACACTCAAAGTAGTCTTGGCGCCATAGCGAACTCATCCGTGGCGGCGCTGCACAACATGTGATAAGGCTGCCGCGCAATATCATGCGATTCCGCGCCACTGTGGCGCTCGGAAACACGGATCGCGCCTACATGGACGTGACAGGCGGCTCAGAAATCACTAGGAGAAAAGGGCCCAATAGCGCGTGTTCAAGCGTGTACACAGTTTACGGGGTTGGGTTATTTCCGTGTTTTTAGCATGCAGAACACTGAGCACGGCATCTACATGTGCTCGCAAAAAGTGGCATTTGGTCCTTTTTTGCTGGTGAATGTGAGCACAATGATGAGAATGGCTGCGCACTTCTGTGAGTTGCACCTAAATGGTGTTGCACACATTTAGAAATCTCTTAAAGAGCTTTGCTCCTTGTGCGAATCGGTAAACATATGATCTAAATCGAGCCAGGGCAGGGAGGCCTGCTGGCGGACGTCGAATCGCTGAACACAGTCAGCAAAGGCATGAATGGTAAAAAATATTGCAAACACAGCAACGTCACATGAGCAATGGGTCATATAATAACTTAAAAGCAAATATGAAAAAAAATATGGTTTATATAAATGCAACAGAAAGAGAAATAGAATATATCCAGCTCACTGAACTGCGCTGGAGTGCGCAGAAAACGCCCTCTTGCTCGACGGCCTTGCCGAGGGCGAGGCGGACGCTGTGTCGCCAGTGCTCAAGGGAACGGAGGGCCGATCATTGTTTGCCGCTTCATCACGTACCCTGCAGGCCAGCCGGTTGTGTCGACGCGCCGTAAGAATATGTAAGTATGGCCAGAAGAATAGCCGGTTCTGTGTTCACGTTTATTCGATAGTATACACGTATATTTAATGTAAAAATACTGCCACATACCTAAAAGCCCAGCCTGATTGAAGACGAGATGTCCCCTTGTCAGAACCTTGCCATACCGAAATCGGTGGACGTTGATGCAGTATTGGCAGCCCCTCGCATCAGCGCCGTTCTACAGGCACGAGCTCTGAATGCTGCCGTTGATCCAAGGCCCCATTAGTTTGGCGCACAAGCCTACCAAACTTCCAGATGTGCTTCATGGCTAGCCGTGATAAACGGGATCGTTGATGCAGCATTGCTGCAACCACTACGGGAAAAAGGGGCGTCCGCGCAGTTTCCGAGCGCCTTATGCGGAAACAACCGAGCGCTGACACAAAAGTGTCCGAGCGCATCCGGAGCGTCTGAGGGCGCGGAATCCAGCAAAAACACGGACACTTTTTCCGTCCGCGCGTCGCCCAGACGCATCGGACGCTTTTCCTATGCGCTCAGACACTTTTACTGCGGAAATTTCCTATTATCCGCAGAGCGCGCAGACGCCGTCCGGGGAGTGCGCGGACGGTGTGTGGGAGTGTGCAGACGCTGTCCGAGGAGTGCGCGGATGGTCTCCGGGGATTGCGTGGAGAGTGTCGAGGTGGTTCCTTGTCGAATTTGAAATTTTCAAGGGTTGGATTGCCAGTTGTGCCCTGCGCATCCGTGTGTTATGTCGGTTGGCTGTGTGGCAGCATGGTCGCGACGCCGCCTGTGATTCGTTGTGGGGTTGCGAGTGGTCCTCCACACAACTGTTTTGGTTGTGGAGGTGCGAGTGTTCCCTCACGCAATTTTTTTTGGTGGACGTGGCGACATGATCTCACGAGGATCGGCAGTCCTCCGCCGCTGGAGATCACAGGACTTGGGCAGCCTGCACACAAAGCAACTAGAAACCGCCAGTTCTTCACCTCTGTCTCTTCAATCGATGGTGATGGTAGCGCTTGGGCAGCCAGCACACAGAAAGCAGATCATCAATTCTTCACCACTTTGCTCCTCCATCGCTGGCGATCGCAGCTCCTGGATGGCCGGCGCATATAGCACACAGAACATTAGTTTTGCCCGGCTCCTCCATCGCCAATGATACCAAGACCTGGACACCTGCACACAAGAGCAACCAGAATCTATCAGTTCTGCATCCGCTGCCTTCTCAATCGCGTGTGACCTTTGGCGCCTGGGTGGCCTGCACAAAAAATGCACAAAAACCGTCAGCTTCTTACCACCGCCTACTCCATCGCCGCGAGGCATCCCCAATTGGTTGCCGTCCTCGACGTCCACCGTGCGATCAGCAGCGCTGATCTTGCCATGCCCTCTTCACCCAACATGGGGTTTCGAGCCACCGACGGGGGCGGGCGCCTACGTTTCGCCACTCTCCCCTCTTGTCGCTGTGGGAGGTGATCAGGACGGCGATCCGCCCCCTCTCTTCACGGCAAGAGAGGGCGTTGGCCTGTTGGGACAGTTTGGGGGTGGGGTGGGGTGGGGTGGGGTGGGTGGAATTGGGGTGGAATTGGAATTGGTGGGGGTGGGGTGGGTGGAATTGGGGTGGGGGGGGGTGGGGGGGGGGCGCGGTCTAATCACAGCAACGGCCACAAATCAATGACACACTGATGTGTGTCCCCAGGCACACTCAAACTGTCCGAGCGTTCCGCGCACGCCTTTCCAACCGTCCGCGCACATACCCTTGTCACTTCTGAGGCCTCCGTCCGAGCACGTCTGCGCAGCGCGCGGACGCGTCTTAGTGGACACAAAAGTGTATTCTGAGGCCTCGGACGCTCTGGGCGCGTCCAAGCGCCTTCGGACACTCTGGGAGTGTCTGGGAACGCGCGGAACCGTCCGAGGCCTCGGAATACCATTTAGTGGCCGCACGGACACGTCCGCGCGATGCACAGACGCTCTCGGACGCGCTCGGACGCATCAGATCCGCTCGGAAACTGCGCGGACGCCCCCCTTTTCCCGTAGTGAACACTGCGTTTGTTGGAGGGTTGGTAAACAACCGACGTCACTATCCTTATGAAAACGGGGCTGTTTTTACGTTGTACTCACGTATTTTTACGCGTTTTCACGCGAAAAAACGTACAAACTACTTTCACGTGTAAAACGTAAAAACGAACGGTGCCGGCCACTGTGGCAAAAAAAGAACAATCCACTGTTGCAAAAAGGGACAGTCCACTGTCGCAAAAAGAAGTATGCACCACGTCACAGAGCCATTGATTCAAGGGCAATTCACCGGTGTTGATGATCGTTGTTCAATGACCCCCCTGCATCAACCCCCGTCAACGCGGCATCCACGACTACCGAATTTCCGGACGCTGGACTCCAGCAGCCCGAGGGTTACGCTAACGTTGCAGTAACGTTACTACAACCCCAAACCCCGTTAATATTGCCCGTGGTTCGCACCAGCCCCCACCAACTCACCGTGACTGGGTAGGTGCCTCTCGCAAATGCGCCCATCACAGGGCATCCCCCTCGAAGCTGTTGCCAGGGCGGAGTGTCGCTTGCCCGCCCGTCGCCACCGAGCGGGACGCCAGGCAATGACAGCCGAACATCAGTCACCGTGAGTGTGGCCCGGGGGCCTGGTGGTTCGCTTCCCCCGTTCCGCATCAGGCCTCTCGCTAGTCGGTCATCGGAAAGCCTGGTCAGAGAGAACCATCCCCCCACCGGCGACGTCAACCTGAGGCTGACGTTGCGGACGCTCGTGACTGCCTTTAAGAGCCTCCCGCCACTATGCGCAGGTGCCCCCCGCCCCCCTTTCGCCACTTGTGCCTGCCTTCAGCAGCAGGCGGCCGCGCCAAGCCGCGTCTCTTGCGTGGGCATGGTCGCCATCATGTTTGTACGGCGTGCGCAGATCGTCGCCGTTGTGGTGTTCTGCTGCCTGGCGGCCGCAGCAGCATCTGCGGACCGGTTGAAGGACGAGGAGTACCTGCGGGGGGCCAAGGTGTGAGTCAGGCGGGAACGCACGGGATATGTGGGCTCGTTCCGGCGGCATCTCTCCGTCAGGACTCGCCGACATTGCACTCCCAGGCCCGACAAAGAGGGGAGGCTTGCCGCGTGCAAACCGGAGGCTGGCGACCCTGCGCCAACGACCACCCCGTGCGCATGCCTCGTGTCTGCGTCGACCAAATATCGAATGCCACCTACCATGCCCCAAATAACTCCCTCGCACCGCCGCGCGATTGCGTCAGTGTCCGTTTCGTCTCGAGATTCCGCGAGGGAGTTGGCTGCTTCCTGGCAAGCCGTGGCTTGTTGTGGAATGGTCGAAGCTTCGACACCAAACGGCGGTCGTTGATCCGTACTCCAAATATCCAAAGCTCTGCGCTGCGCGCAGCCCCACTCTGCGCATTCCCTGCCCCCCTGCCTCGCCGGCTCAGGCGCCCTGAGCCCCAGTTTCGAGTTGATGCTGACTTGGCGTCGTTGGGCCCGCGAATTGGAGCAGCCAGGCCACGACTGCAGGCCGACCTCGCGTGCTTTCCGGTCGTTCCCTTCCAAACGCGTCACTGCCCCCAGCCCGCCTCATGCCTCCGTCTCCCCTGGATGCGCGAAACCCGTGACGCTCAACCCCCGTTATGATGCCACGTGCGCAGGAGACCCCGCGCGAGGCCTTCACCGCATGGGTGGAGAAGTACGGCAAGGGCTACGAAGAGGGCTCCGAGGTGGGGGGCCAATAGCCGCCGAACCGACGCTGCGATGCCGTTTCTACCCCAAGCCGCCGTTGTGATTCTGCCCCTTGCGCAATGCCGGCAGCCCAGATAGCACTCCGAGACCTGTCTCAGATCGATCGCCGATCCCGTGCTCACAAATAATCTCCTGTGCGCCGTGCCTCGCGTGCAGGTCCTCGCGCTGCACCCAAAACTCCCCCTTGTTCGCCGCCGCCATTGTGGGCCGGGGGCGCAGGCCTGGCACGCCGACGCTGACTGTTCCGCGCTGTGGAGCGGTGCAGGAGTTTGAAGCGCGGTACGAGACCTGGCTGTACAACCTGGACTACGTCACGGAATACAACAAGAAGCACAGTTCGCACTGGGTAGGTACTGCGGGTGGCGCGGGGTGGCAGTTGCTTGAGTCCTGAAATGGATTTTTGAGGTGAGGGCTTTGGTTTTCCTAGGGGCTTTTAGGGTTTGGGGTTTTTCAGGATTTCTTCTGTTCTTTGGCTTCTAGGGTTTAGGTTGCAGGGCCAAGGATTTTGCGCTGGTCGCAAGAAGCTAGGGACACCGTCGCCCAGCACACCCAGCCTGCGTAAAACCAATGGGGAGCGAGCAAAAAGAAGTGCTGTGCGGACCAACGGCGAAAAAAACACGAAGAAGGCTCCGTCTGCGCTGTTGTGTAGGACTTCGGCCTTACTTGTCTTCGTCTCCGGGTCCAAGACTGGTGTCCTCCCAATGTTCCTTTTCTCGCTGCTGTATATGACGAACTAATAGTTTTAGGGTTTCACGTTCAAGATGCTGTTGGCGGCCTTGGCGCTGTTTCCCATCTGTTAGGTAGCTGTGATTCAACTTTCCGCTATCTCTGCCGTTTTGCCCATCTGAGTACTCGATGGCGCACTTGAAATACAGCACAACTTAGCCGCTTCGAACGCAGGGTAGTGGAAGATGCTCTGTGGTGGTGTGTTGGTGAGCATGAACAATGTGCTATGTGCACCCAACGTAGTTGAAGTTGTGTCCGTCCTCGCTTCGCAAAGTGCCAGAGCAGTGATTTGTCGTCTGTTTTCTTACAAACGCAATCGAATGCTTCGATTCCCGGCTCGGCGTCACTCACTCCTTGTGGCTAACCCACCTTGCAGGCACCGTGCGTGCGTGGCATAACCAGGCTGCACAGTCATTTCGAGCTCCAATGTGTCTCGCTTCCCCGCCCCTGCGCGAAGCCGCAATTTGGTCCCTTCTTCCCTTCCAGGCTTGTTATGTACGGCGTAAACATTCCGTGTATGTACGGTTCCTTTAACAGACAACGCTTAAAAATACGCCAAAACAGGCCGCATTTAAGCTGTGAATAACAAACTCTATCCTTTCATCAGGGTTTAATCAAAGTTTCCTGCTGCCGTGCCCAGCTGTCCCTCAACAAACTGGCGGACAGGTACCCCGAAGAGTACGGAAGGATGCTGGGCACGCGGGTGCCCGAGCACTGGGTGAGGCGCCCGGAGGTCGACGAGGCCCATGGCGACCAGGACGGCGTGGGACTGGAGAGCATTTTGTACGACAGCACCGACTGGAGAGATTTTGGGGCCGTCACGGAAGTGAAGGATCAAGGGGATGTGAGTGGTCTGAGCCATGCTTGGTTTTTGTGGCGTGAGCACAGCGTGTGTTTACGCGTTTCTATGTAAAGGGCTGGGCAAAACTATGGAAGCACGGACTGTGTGTAACGCCATAAGTGACGATCCTGGTCTGAGCGCCCACCGCTGGCAAAATAATCACATCTCCCAACTATGGGATGTCCCTTGCGCGCGCGGCCAGTCGTGTGTACGAATTGGGTCGGGGGCGTGCTGGATATGGACATGCCTCGGCGAACTTTCGGACACCCCAATGTGGCTCATCTTTGGGAGAAAATTGTCTAACATGGTGTGAGGTGAAGCGAGCGATGACGGAGCGACGAGCCCATGACGAGTGATGAAACAAATGCCGAACTTGACGACGATAGGGACGTTTTGCTCGGCGCTCTCGTCGCTGCTCCATTCGTCTTCGCGTCGTCGCCCCACGTGTCATTGCACCTTCGCCGCGCTTGCCGCCGCGCAACCTCTCGATCTGCGGTCTCGTCGTCGATCTTCGTCGTTCGTCTTCGCGCCGTCCTTTGTTGAAACCGACATTCCCATGCGCATTTGCCGCGGTGGCTTGCAACCGAAATTTGCCACGAGTTTGCGACGACCGTCGTTGACGCAGGCGCGCCCTTATTTGGGGCGGTTGCACCGACGCACGCATGTTTTTTACGCAAAAGGGCGCGAAGAACAGTGCACAACAATTGCGTCATTGAAAAGAAATATAGACAATCAAGAGCATGTCATCTATTTGAGCATTGTTGAAAGCATAATATTGAATGTCAGGGTACATTATTCGACGCAAAATTTCTGCGATAGGTGGTGGGCGTGGCGAACTTAGGGATTCAAATCGTTTGAGCTCCACAGCAGAGCGTGTGGCAGCAATGTGACATGCGTGAATGGGAAACAACCGGGCGCTTGCAACTGCGCTTTATTGGGATCCATTCTACACCAATCCTCACGCTGGAATCCCCATCACCGCAGGGTGAGAATTGGCAATTTTAGACGATTAATCAATCCCCTGAAACCACAAAGCTGTGTCCAAGTCGCTTCAAACAGATTGCCGTGGCCTGAAAGGCACGCTGCCGCTCCACAATGGCTCATCGCCGAAACTTTTTGGGTTTACTCAGCACCGCTGACGTATACGTTGCAGTGCGGCAGCTGCTGGGCGTTCTCCGCGGTGGGCGCCATTGAGGGCATGAACGCTCTCTACACGGGCAACCTCTTCTCCCTCAGCGAGCAGGAGCTGGTGGACTGCGACGGACTGGATTTCGGCTGCGACGGCGGCTTCATGCTCGACGCATACAACTTCACGAGGCGGCACGGCCTCACGAAGGAGAGCATGTACGATTACAAGGCCATGGAGGGGTGGTGTGATCACATGGAGGAGAGGCAGTATTACGCCAAAGTGGATGGCTACGAGCTGGTGCCGCAAACGGAATACCAACTGATTAACAATCTGCAAATGCAGGTAGGGACTGAGGTTGTGTTGTCTGTGCGTGGGCGATAAGTATCGCCATAGACTGACAATTTGTCATTCTGGATTCAGTATAGCGCTAGAAATTTTGTAGCAGATTCGTAATTTACCATTTTAGAATGTCGAATCGCCGTCCCAAGTCTGGCTCATCCGCGTATACGGCGGTGCGGTGATATGTTGGATACATCCAACATATATCAACATGCCGTGTTGGGACCGCCCAATTTTCAATTTTCCTTTCACTTCAATTTTCCCTGACACGGACCTCTCGATTTGCGAAGAAAACCAGTGATTCAAGTTTGCAACAAGGTCCAAGACATCTGCCCATCGTGGGCAATATTGTCCGTCAAGTGCCGTATCGTATTCAACTTTTCCTCGTCAAACGATTTCACATTACTCTTTTTGCTCTTCATTTTCCTTCAGAGCGTTATCGTTATTTTATAACGTTGCTCGGAACAAAAGGTATTCAAAGAGCGTTATTTTTTCTATTGTTTTCTGCACAATGAGAGTCCAAGCTTTACGTTACTGTGCGGAAGGATTGAGTATTTTATGGTAGTTTCCCACTAATGGCGTTTATGTGGCACACTTTGGGAACGGAAATCTGGGGGCAGTGACTGACATTCAAGAGGGCGGCGCTTTGTCGTTTTTTTGTGAATGCAGCTGACAAGGACTTGAGCCTCAAGCGCAGTCCAGTGAAGTACAGTTGGGTCTGCTCAAAGCGACACTGCAGATTGGGTACTGAGCCGATTGATTCTAATTTTTGGGGCGCAAACTAGACTCAAATTAGAACTTTCTGAAAGATCTTCTTGGAAATCTAAGGCAATTTGGTAAATTTCTTGGGACCGCTGTTCACAACCGCAATTTAGTTCGGAATGGACGAGCATCCCACAGAATTTCGTTACGCTTTTGATCTTGCCAGACTGCGTCAGGATCCAATACCTGTACCATTGCAATACATTGGTCCTTGTTTACATTTCCTTCTACAAATAATTGTGCATCTTCAATACTTCCAATAACACTTCTTACACAGGAGCTTAGGGAATATCTTGCATTCTGCAGAATTCCGTTTCGAAAGCCCAAACCGTGTTTTTGGGATTCATCTTTCGCCCGACCACCGACAACAAATCGCGTCACCCCAAGGTGCGCCATGGGCCGCTCCCAGCCCTCTCCGCAACACTGACTCAATGTACTGCCCCACCGCAGCCCATCAGCGTTGCTATCGAGGCTGGCAGCAAGTCATTCATGCTCTACGCGGGCGGCATATACGACGCGCCGTGCGGCACGTTTCTCAACCACGGGGTCTTGGCCGTGGGCTACAACATGACCACCATCCACAACAACCACAAGGGATACTTCATCATCAAGAACTCGTGGGGAACGGACTGGGGCGAAGACGGGTACATCAAGTTCAAGATGGGCCTGGACGGCGGCATGGGCCAGTGTGGGATCGCAATCGCGGCGTCCTACCCGTACATGGAGTATGACGTGGGTGACGCAGAAGTACGGACCAGTGCCTGGCCTCGCTCCGCGGGCGGCGCTTTCGCGACCACTTGAGTCGCTTTTCATTGCGGCGCATGTTAGGCACGCCGTGCCGAGGGATTGGGCGCCGCGGCTGGGCGAGCAACAGCGGGGCTGGCCGTTTTTAAGGCGAAAATTTTGACCCGTCTTTTCCTTGCGGGGCTGTGGGGATCTGGAACTGTCGGTGGACGTGGCGAGCGTGGGCCACGGCAACGGAGGCATCGAGGTGACGGTTGAGAGCTGATCTGGGCACGAAGGAAGTGAAGGCTTTGAGCGCTGTCGGGTGCATATGGCACTGGTGGGTGGCTGTTGGAGATGCGATCCAGGAGAGCGTGAAATATTGCAGACAGTGGAATGTTGCATTTTTGTTTGTGCCGCTGGCCGGCGTGGGATGACCGGGGAGTAATCGTGGGGAATGTATGTACCCTTTGAATGTGGGCTCCGTAACGGCGAGATTCACCACTTGGTAAACACCGAATTGGGACGCTTGGCAGGGCAGAATGCGATTAGCGGCGATGGCAAATTTAGTTGATGAGTACCCGGGCGACGGCCAGCGTGCGCATGAGCCATGGTTTTTTGGCGGAAAGAAGAGGAGGGTGCACAATGGATGTGGAATGATCTGGTTTCCCTCCAGCTGTTGTTTGATGTGTATGCGAATGTAAAATAGATGTGTCGCTGTGTATAACGTCAATATACGGCAGTGGGATGACCGGAGACCGGCCGGGGCCACGCAAAGTGCAGCTGTGAGCGGCTTGAAGCCTGAAGCCTTGACGACTCTGACTCTGATCACATGGGCCTTTCTGCTTTGCGTTTTTTTTGGGAGGGTTCTGCTTTGCGTTTGGCGACAAGTAATTCCGTTCTCCTGCACGTCTTTGACACTGCGGAAAAACGCACACCACCAAGACAACTTGAACGCATTCTGAATACCGACTTGCAACGGCAATCTATTGTAATTGTATAACTGGGCATCCCCAGTTTGCCCCCCCTCCGCGGAATGCATAATGCGGAAGAGGATGTACTATATATCATAATCGTGAAATCATGTCGAAGGTCTACCTTCGAGCAAAACATGATTTAACTCCCAGTATTTCGAGCCAAAGTCTGCGATTCAGAGAATTCATTGCGCGACCGCTCGCTGGACAGTGACTCCTTTCCCCCAACCCCCATTGTCTGCAACTGGGCAGGCATGCTCAAGTCGACCACTCCCCACCCCACCTCACCCCACCCAGGGGTCCTTGCGCCATTGACATAAATTGTGTACTGCGTCGCTAGGATTCGTGTTGTGCTCATATGCTCTTCGTGATGCTCAATACTGTATTTTCAAAATGGCTCTCAATTGTGACTGATCTAAGAGATGCTGAGCGACGGCCATGAACAGGTTAGAAAATCGCAGGACACAAGCCTGGAACCACATCTCAAATTGAAGCCTTGGATCGATATCCCAAAGAACTTTAAATCTGTGCTCCATACCCAATATTGCCATGTGTTAACAACCTCCACAGATCCTGGCTTTGATCGAACATTATTACCCTTCAAAACATTCCGCCTCAATGCTCCAAGTCATTGTGAGCATCTACCCAATTCACACCCACACCCACAAACACTAATGTTCTAGTCCCCTTGGTAATCCCGCCCGCCGTGTTGGCAGCGCACCTCTTTCGCTGCACCTCTGTCACACATGCACCACACTGAGCGTCTGCTCCGCGCTGCAAATCCATGCATCGTTTGTGGGCACGTTCAGGGTGTGCAAGCAAGCAGCAAGCGGAGCACTGCACCGCCATAACTTTCTACTGGCGCCCCTCCTGCAAGAGGCGCTGTGTCAGGCCACGAGTTCCTAGTCATCGGTTCTTGAGGACCGGGCGGGAAATACAATAGGGATTCCACTAGGAAAAAAAGGCCATAACGCGTGTTCAAATGTGTACAAAGTTTACAGGTTTGTGTTGTTGTTGCGTTCTTATCGTGCGCATCTTTGATGAAATGGGTTTTATGTGTGTTCGCAAAAGAATTATTTGGTACTTTTGTTACTAGTGCTCTGGGCAACTTTATGGCATGATTTGCCCCTTGTACGACTTTCGGAGCGTCCTTTTGTGCTTGGCCATCGCTGATCGCGTCCAAGGTTGCTCGCTCTCCATGCAACGCGATCCCCGCAGCCACAGGGGCAGCACCCCTTGTTTCCAATCGGAGCCCTGCCGCCGCGGCCCCCCAACGCCACCGCGTTGACCTCCGCCAATTCACCACCAAGTCCAAATCCAGCGCGCCCTCCACAAGGCGCAGCTGCAGAATTGCCACCAAACGCCCTGAGTCGCCGAGGCCTCCCAAGGTGCCAGGTCTCCGAGGGTGCCCAGCATGGTCTCACAGCCATGCTTGATCTCCCCACAAAATTTCCACCGGTCCAGGCACCCGTACAAGTCGCGGATACCTGTCAAATGCTTCCGGTTGACCGAAAGGTGGCCAAGGATCCGCTATGACTCTCCACGGATACGGAACCATCGTGCCCTGAATCCATCTACACATCACCCCCCACCCCACGCGAGGCTCCGCCCGGCCTCGTGCCGTCGTGTGCCTTGGCTCGTAGCCTCTTCGCCAGCAGCGCGGGGCCCCAAGCGGGGAGGTTGCTGCGAACAGATTGCTGTGCGTTGCCTCAATGGCTTCACAGGCAGGCGGCGAATTTCCTCGAACGGGTGGGCGTGGCGTGTGACGCTGCTCATTCAAATGCTGGACTCACAGCTCGTTGCAATGTCAGGGGCGCCCCAGGCGGATGGTGAGCGGATGGCATGGACAGACGAGGGGGGAAATTTTCTTACTATATGTTTACATGCCTGTCATCGCCTGGAAGGTGGAAGGACCCCGTCTTGTCTCTCACAGGCGAACCTAAAATCTGGGATGTTTAGGTCCTAAACAAAGGTACCTAGCAGGCCGGGCCTGAGTGTATTTGAAATTATGCGAGAACGGTTTTCCGCCGCAAAAGAAACGGACAAGACTGGCTGTGAGCGTCTCAGGCCATCAATAAATGAGTGGTAATTACGCATATTTTTAATACTGCCTTTAGGTGGAATACGACGTTTGTATAAAGAAATTATGAATATTGCATCACTGTTCAACAAATGTGTGGACAAGTCGTGCCCGTCGCCGCCTTCACGGTGTAAGGGGAGCGCTCTGCCATTTCTCGACAACTGTACTCAAAAGCAGATCAGAATCTCCATATACGGGCACTCGTACACGACGTAAGATATTCCATATATGGCGTACGTACACACACCGTGCGTATAGTTCGTACAAAACGCACGTGCGCCTATGGCCAGCAGAAGCAGGAGTCTCAGTCGCCATTCCAGGAGACAGCGAAGCACAAATCAATATAAGAAATAGATCAGAAAATCTATACTCCCTCTGCTCGGAATTAATTGTCCTCTATGAGTTTGGCGCCCTACTTCTCCATCATAGGAACTTCATTTCTCAATGAATTTCGCCCAAATGTGTGCCTATGTTTTGTGCTTATATTTTGGGAGTATACGGTCAAAATTTCGATTCAATCCATTAAGTAATGCAGATTTGGCACCACTTTCTATGAAGGGTCCTTCAGCCAGAACCCAACCGCTTTTCAACATTGCTGCTAGAACGGCCATTTTCTCTCCTTTTAGGACCACTCTTTTGCGGCAGTGCTACGGTGCCGCCCTTGGAAAACTATCCATGCTGTTTGGATAGAAGATCGTGGAGGTGCTTGCAAAAGAGCAGGGCAACAGAAAGCACGTCTTGAAGGCCCTGATTGTGAAAGTCGCCAAGTCTTGCGGCTGCAATTCAAGCCCGATTGGCCGAATCAGAAATTTCTGGGATTTCTAGGCCATTGACTTTTGGACCTTCAACGCCGCTGGAAGGGATACCGCAAGAGGCCTCCCAAGTCCCTTGCAGGCGCCTAAGGAAGGTGGTGGCCATCACGTGATGGTGCACCCTATTCAGCGGCAGACAATCAAGGCGGTGGGCCTCCTAGATGGGGATGGTGAATCGACCATTTTTGGCACTTGAAGGGTTTGAGCTTGAGAGGAATGGCTAGACGGATAGAGCTATGTCTCTCAAAGGGCAACGCACTCGCTAAGTTGCAATGGATAGACCCGCGGACCGCACCCAAGAATCGGTAGCTGCTAGCAGTTTGTGGGGTGTGGGCCAGGCTGCCCGCAAAGCATTGATTCAAGACTCAATCGAGGCAGATTGCCCAAACAAGTCTACTACATAACCTTGAAATGACACCTCCCACAGAGCCCCAGCTTCAACGCCTTGGATCCTAGCCTTGTCCGCCTGCTTTAGTTCCTTGCATTGAACATCGAGAATGGCCAAAATATCAGAAATCGTCAATGCTGTGACGATGGCCTTCTGCGACGGGGATCCAAAGACTGTTGAGAGTTTGGCGAGCGCTATTCCACATGAGGGACGCTGCCCTTCACGGCTAAGGTGCCAACGACTTGTCTTTGGCACACCTAGGACGGGGGTGACACGTGCAGGTTCCCAATGTATGTGGAATTAGCACGCACAGTTTTTGAAGGAATTACGGCAAATTTTGAGGGCCATTCATAGGGGGTGGGACCAGCTTTATTTTCTTGAAAATTGGTAATTGAGGGCTTTGGGATCCAAACTTTCCGATTTTGTTCTTTTTTTGTAAGTTTAAGGTCTTCCTTCCAACGAATCTTGTCTCGCAAATAGAGGAAAATTAATTCCGGACAGAGGAAGTATAATTGAGACTATTGAGACAACCATAATTGGGACAATCACCCACGAAGGCCAACATTAAAACGGTCCAATTTCCAAGCTATTCCGTTCACAGCGACAAAACGCCTACGCCCAAGTCAAAGGGCGGGCCGGGGAACCCACAGATTCAGCACTCGTAACCAAGAATACATGTAGCATTGGTTCGCTATCACATACACAGGGCCTAATGTACACCGAGCGCGTTCGCGGCGCACCTGAGCGCAGCGCCTGTTCTATCCCGTCCCAAAATGGCCGGCATCCCAAAACTACCGTCGACCCCTCGAATCCGCAATTGCGGCATCCCCTTTCCCCAACTTTCTCCGGTCGCTCAGCTCCAGCTGTTTAAAATCTGGCCCTTCCCGAAACACGCGCACACCAAACCGTCCTTCAGACGGGCCGCGATGTCACCCGCCACACGTGCCTTGCAGCAAAATCGAAGCTTCAACCCCACGGCCGGGGCCCTTCCCATGCAGGAGGCTTTTCAGCACCAGGTCCATCCAGCACCAGGACTTGCAACTAGGGCAAAGTGGTACAAGCAGTACTATAAAGTACTGAGCCTTATACCAATCTCCCCCGGGGCCGATCAGGTGGTCGCGATCTCTGCGCCTGCGGACCGGGGCCAGCTCAGGGCGTCTTCATATTTCTTGGTGGGGTACGACGCGTGTAGGGCGATGCCGCACTGGCCCATGCCGCCGTTCATGCCCATCCTGAATTTGATGTAGCCGTGCTCCCCCCAATTCTTCCCCCAGGAGTTCTTGATGATCCAGTAGCCGCCGCCGTGGGTGTAGTCAGTGGAGTGCCTGTGGCAGCAGTCCGTTCGCAGTTGCTGCAGCAAGAACAGGGCATGACAGAGCAGAGCCTCCCTCCTCCCCTCGTTTTCTTCTCGATTCCAAATGATTATTAATAATATGTTAATAATTAATATTAATAAAATTATTAATTAACAAATTAATATTAATTAATAATTAATATTAATAAAATGCTACATCGCATTCCAGCGTCCAGGTGCCTTCCCCGTCCTATCACAAGATATGCGGGCCACTTTCCGCCGAGCAAGAGCGCGCAAGGCGATGCAAAGCCTCCAAATGGTTTGCACCCAAAAAACTCAGTCGCAAGAAAGAGAAAACAGAACCCTTGCATCCCCAACGACAACGAGCACATGCCTGACAAAGCAAACAGAACATGGATGAATAAATGGAAAGGTGAGAGACCTATTCGCTTGCCCAGCCATCAAGATCAGCAATTTGATGCGAATTCAGTCCTCTTAGTAGATTCGTGCTGTGGTTGAGTGCGCATTAACTGCCAAAGAGAACGAGGAAGTCAGCCAGGACTGGCTCAGTGGCTGGACGCCCAAGACGGCGACTGGTATGCCATTGGAGGAGCAGCATGCCTGACACGTTGCAAATCCACAACTCTTCTTTGGGGGTGTTTTCTGCTGCCTATTGGGAGGCACCCTGAACAAGTGCACTGCGTGGTGCTGTTCCACACAGTTGTGTTTTTATATTGTGGGGCCAGAGGGGTGACGCCAGGGCGGCCCTGGATGTGGCCATGACACGTTCTGATGGGTCGTGTATTGCAGGTATAGCACAGACGGTGGATGCACATTTTGTCGTAACACCATATGCAGGAAATCTTCTTCTGCTTGAGGATGCTCATTCAGCTCAACCCGGCTCGAAACGTCTGGAAGGAGATGAGGACACGCACTTGTGATAACCGACGACAAGGACGCCGTGGTCAGGTATGACGCCGCATGGCTCGTCATAGACACCGCCTCCGTAGAACATGAATGGCTCACTCTCGGCGTCAATGGCAACGCTGACAGGCTGCACAGCACAAACCTTGATGAGACCAGCCATTTCTTTCGCTTGTCAGCAAACGGACAGACATGTGTAGCAAGTACATGCTGTGCAAGTGTACACACAGACACTGGGGAGTTGGTTCGCATAGTGCACAGGTGAGCTGTGTTGATCAGCTTGCATAGTTTTGCATGCAATCACATTTGAGCTGCGCATTGCAGAGCACATCGCTGGAACCCTTGGGTCATGTTGTGCACCTCGGCATCAAGAAATATTCACCTCTTTAAGTGCGTTGTATGCTCCACAGAAACGCCGGCCCAAACCAGAACGACAACAGAAGATGGACATGAAATGCAAAAAAAAGACAGGAAAGAACAAAAGAAAAAGACAGGAAATTTTGCTTCTCAATTTCTCAACGCTGGCTGCAAGTCAGCAACGCAAACAGCAACGTCAGCTGTGCAATTCCCAGCTTGCAGCCAGAAGCACGAATGCCACCTGTCACAATCCTCCAGCACCAGCACTCTCAACAGTGACCTAACTGAGACACGTCGTTGAGCCAGCGGTCACACTTGCCTGCTGTGCGGCCGCCTTCATCAATGCATGCTCGTTGATTGGCACATCCTTATGGCCATCGATCATCGCATAATACAACTTTTCTTTCTTCTTCTCGCACTTCTCATCCTCCGCCTTGTACTTGTAGTCCTTCTCCAATGTCAGGCCATGCTTCTGCGCAAACTCGAATGCATCGTCCATCCACCCACCGCTGCAGCCCCAGTCTTTTGAGGAACAATCGACGAGTTCCTGCTCGCTGAGGGAAAACAGCTCGCCTGTGTAGATCGCGTTGATGCCCTCCACAGCGCCCACAGCCGAGAACGCCCAGCAGCTGCCGCACTGCGCAGGACACGAGTACATCCAAGAGGTGAGAAATGCGCACACAGTTGCAAAACAACAACTGCAAATATCTTCACGCACCACCTGAAGTGATAGGCACCTGCAATAACACTAGGGAAAAAAGGGCCAAATAACACGTGTTCAAACGTGTACAAAGTTTACGGGTTTGTGTTATTTTTGTGTTCTTAGCGTGCAGAACTTTGATGGAATGTGTTTTATGTGTGTTCGAAAAAGTGTTATTTGGCCCTTTTTCTGCTAGTGTAAAGTCGATGCACAGCAAAGCTGCATAACAACTTCAAATTCTTTCCACTGCTGAAATTGGGAATCAGCGATGCAATTTACGATGGATGGGGTCCAATCTTGCAATTGTAGCCATGTTTATCACGTATACTTCTGAAGATACTAACAGCAACATACGCATCTCAACACTTCTATCTTATCAATTTCTGACCAGCAGAGATCAGCACATCGGCCACACACTGCAGGCATCCCTTTCAGGGTGCTTGAGGGGCATCGTAACCGTACAGACACATGCACGAAAAATCAAACAGAATGTGTTCACATCAATAAATTTCTAATAAATATAGACATAAATAAATACAAATACAAATAAACACAGATACAATACAAAAAATACATTTCTAAATCGATAGCAACTGCATCTCACTTCTCGTTGGTTCTTGACCGGAGTCACAGCTCCCTCTTCCCTCCAGTCCATGTATGGGGGCACCCAGTCATTGTCATCGACAGATGGCTCCTCTACCTGCCGCCGCTTGCCCTTGGGCACCTTGGCCCCCAGCAGCCGCTTGTACTCTTCGTGGGTCATGTCCCCAAAGTCGTTCATCGCCAACTGGAAGCAGTGCCCAGAAGCAGTACATCAAACAGGGTCATCAAAGCAAAGGCGAGAGCGTGATGCACAAATGCCGCATGCAGTCGCCATTTCTGCATGGTTTTTTGCGATTTGGACTTCCTGTCTGTGCTTTTTTCAGCCGACTGCAAATACGGTAGAATTGTATCAATGCCCCGGCTGGCCAAGCACTGACCCCAAACGTAATTGCCTGATAGCGCATTCCCTGATTCCCGCGGGCGCCCAATATCTAACAACCAGTTTCTGGGAGCAATGGGACTGTCCCCCTCCAAGACTGCAGCGCCTCTCTTGGATGCATTTGTGTTTTCCTCCAGCCTTGCTTTGTTTCAAGTCTTCTGTTCCGATTCCGAGGCTGCAGATGCTGTTGTTGGACAGCTGCAGGTTCACCAGGAGCCTTGCTCCATTTCATGTACCATGTTTGATGTACCCTGTTTCGCTTTCCAAACAAATGGATAATGGTCTTGTCAACTCTCTTATGATCACCCATCATCTTTACCTTGTCCTCGGCCACCAAATCATTCTTTGATGGATCGCAGGCAGAACTGTGTGGCTAGAAGTTCGATGGCCGAGGAGCTTGTGAATCATATACTTTTGTTAGAGGCACTGATCATTCTGACACACAACAAGCTCCTTGCCTTTGTCATGCTCCACACGGAACATAAGAAGCATCAACACAGATGCGTTTTGACTCGTTCCACATTCCCAGGACCACAAGGCACATCACTTGCAAACTCTGGGGTGACTGGCAGCACCCCTGCGTGTTGAGTCGTCACTTGAAAACACCAGGGAAGGGCTGGAGAGGGTGGGAATGGACAGCTGACGAAGCTGGAATGCACGCAACAACACAAGTTGAAAACGGACACGCAGACTGCAAATAAGAAAATGGGAAGGCAAAGGATGCTAAGACAGCCAATCGCACGTCGCTTCAAAACGCGTCCACTGCTCTCACAACACTCCCACAACAACAGTAGCCTCAAGCACCTTTGGTGTGGGCCCAACTTGACAACAAAGTCTGTTGTCTTCTTGGGTCTGTTGAACAGACGCAAATTAACCTGGGACCCAGGACCTGGGGCAATGCAACCAGAGGGAAGGTGTCCCAGCATTCCCTATCTAGCACCATGCTGCGTGACTTCGCCGGCCGTGATGCCACAGGTTGGGGGTTTAGGGGAATCTGTGTGACGGGGGGAGGCGTCACGCGGCCCAAAATAATCCACATCGTCTTGCGACATGGCACAGAGCCTCTAACACACTCGCACAGGAGGGACCCGTTTCTCGTTTCTTGGAACAAACCTCGCCGTGTGTACACGCTCAGCAGCTGCCTTCCCCACCCACCCACCCCTCACCCAGTGGCTCTCGTGCTGCTTGTTGTACTCAATGATGTACTCCACGTTCGCCAGCCACGTGTCGAACCGGGTTCCATACTCCTGCGGGCGCGATGCAAGAACACTTGTCTGTAGCAATCAGCAGCCGAAACTGACGTTCTTGCGATGCCAACTGCGATGCCATTTGACACTATTCAGCCAACAGAGCCAGCCAGGAGCCCGCACGGCGCCGGCGCCCCACCTCCGTGCCTTCCACGTAGGACCTGTTTCGCTCCGCCGCCCACTGGTTGAAGGCGTCGATCGGGCCGGCCTGCGCGGCAACAAGCGCGCCAACGAGGCATCTCAGAATCACCCGACAGGGCATCAGGAGGGCAAGACATGAGGAGGGCAGGACATCTCAGAATCGCCCGGGAAGACATCAGCAAGGCAAGACATCAGTTTTTTCTCAGTTCTTTTGGGAGGAGTTCAGGAGCCGCATGGCAAGGCGTCAGGGTCTGGGTGTGTGAGAAAATGAGCTGGGCGCGATCGAGCCCATCAGATCGGCCCTCCAAACGCCCCGGGCGCAACCTGACGGCGAACGGACACGTGAACAGAGGCAGGCCCAGTTTGATTCGGCCTCTCGAACGGAACAACGGCCGCCCCGAGTTACTGCTACCGAAAACCTGCTGCCGCGCGCTCGTCCTTCAAACCGTCCGAGGACAATCGCCGCCACGGGAGGGCGATGCAGCTTTACGGCCGGATGCGAGAGGACGGCCCCGGGCGCCGCGAGCGTAGATTGAACTGCAGCTCGGGCGGCGGCCGGTGGCGCCATCCGGACGACCTGTTCGATGGTCCGGTACAGCCATGCGCCCGCCCCTCCATCTCCCACCAAGACTACGTCAGAATCCGCTCCCTCCCAGCTCCCCCGCCTCTCGACTCCGCAGCCTAAAGCGCCGAGGACAATCTGGCCTCCGCCGCGGCCACCGAGCCGAGCGCCCCCAAAAATGGACCCGCAGGTTTCACGAAGCCCTCCCCGGACACAACCCGACAAGCTACGATCGACAATCTCCCCAAACCGCGTCAAAACTCACCCCAACACAACTCACACAACCCCTGCCCCACCGCCACATCCCCTCCCCCCTCCCCCAGGGCGCAATCAGGCCCCCCACACACACACACTTCGCATCGGAGACTCTGCACCATCTTCTCACAGCATGGAAAGGGGTCTCCCACACACTCGCTTAGGAGGGGGTGCCCTTTGCATGACCTGTCTCTTTCTCTCTTCGTAAAAACTCTCCCACCCCCTTTCCCCTTCTGGCCAGCACCGAGGGTCAGTCGCCCAAAAACAAGGCCCTCGCCAGGATCTGGATGCAGTCGAAGCCGCCCGCAAAATCCCACCTTTGCCGTCACCAGGTAGGCCTCGTCGCTGTCACGGTCCGGCGAGCCACCCGCGGCCAGCAGGCACGCGGCGATCAGACACGCCAGCAGGGGGAGCCAACCCGGAGACCTCGCCATCGATGCGATCGAGCGCCGGCCGCCCTTTCCAATCGTGGGCACCACTGCGGCGGCGCTGTGGCCACTGGGTTGGCGGGAGGGCGGTCCCTGCAGGGCTGTGGAGAGTTTGGCGGGTTTTGTAGGCGGTCTGGGGCGCGTGGGAAGGCCCTTGGGTGGGAGTGTACACAGGGCTGAGTGTGCTGAGCGACGTGACGCATTGAGGGGTCGCTGCAGCGACGCTGTGCTCTTATTGCCTAGTAGGAAAGTCCGACGCGGGGATCAGAGTGGTGCGACCGTCGGATGCCGGTAGGGCGTGGGTTGAAGTTGTGGGGCGTGGTGGTCGGGCTGCCGGGACGGCCCACCCGTGGCTTGAAGGTGGGAGGTTTGGGAAGGACCCGTTGGGCGCCTGCGAGGCAGTTGGGCCGAGGTCCCTGGACTGCGCGGAGCAGCCGGGTGAGCGCGCAGCATGGCAATGGCGCATGTGACGAGCGTCAATTCGCAGTGGGCATTTCAAGGTGGCTCTCGCCAGACACCTGGCACTTCAAAGACACGAACATTGGCAGCATTCGAAAGAAATGATGTTACTGCCTGCAGCAAGTTGGTGACTGCTTGCACCAAGTCACGAGGGTTCACGTGCACACTGCGTCCTAACCCCAGTTGTAGGGTTTTGTTTAGATTCAGGGTGAGTTTTAGGGTTAGGGTTTGGGTTAGGGCAGGTTTAGATTTAGGGTTCAGGGTTCAAGTTCTAGATTCAAGTTTTGGAGGCAGTTGGTGCCAAGCAGTCACCGATTTAATGCAGAAAGTCACCGATTTGGTGCAGCCAGTAATTGTATGCCCATTCGAAACGGCAATCTGTCAGTTGAGCGACCACTGACACACCAACGAGGACAGCACAACTTGAGCGACACGGATCGTTTCCTAGTGAACGTGATTCCAAGTTTACAGTGGCTCGAAGCCCTCAGCGTTGTGGGCACACCAGCTCCCCCCACCTGCTCTAAGACGACGGGCACTCAGGCCGCCTGTCCTGCTGGGCTCACTGGATCTGAAAGGAGCCGCGTGCGCTCATTCCCCCCTCCCCCCCTCTCACCCACGCCGACAGATATTGTACACGAATTCACAGCCCACAGCCCAGGACGCACCCAAAAGAAAACCACTCGCAAACAGTTCAGAATCTGCACCCTCACTCAGGCGCACACACACATCACTCATCCCCTGTGGCGCCGTCCCCAAACAATTGCCCACGCACAAGTCGGAACGCGCCTGTGGAAGAAATCCCCTCAAAGGTGCGGGGCGGTGCGGCTGAACAAGAAAACTCCCGATCCCCAGGCAACGAACGGTGCTTGCTGCACAGAAAAGAAGGCCTCTCATCGACCTTAGTACTCTGCAAAACAGTGACAACTCTGGTGGCGTCTCTTAAATGAACCATAACTTTGGGTTCCTTTCCCAGCCAGCGCCTTCTTTATCCCCACTCCCTGGCTTCCCTTGCGTGATTTTGTAACACATTCTTTTACCTGTTCTCTTTTTTTTCCTGGGCCAGCGCTTTTTGATCCCCACTCCCTGGCTTGGATCCCCCAGGACGGGATACCACCTGCCACCAGTTGGTTCAGATCGGTGATTCAGGTCGTCGGAAACTGCCCCAAGGGGCGCGACTTCTCTGTAGCTTCTTCGGTGCCAAGCTGCACGATGCCCCGGGCGGCGTCCGTCCACGGGTAGTGCGCCGCGGCCTTGGTCTTCGGGGCCCACGGGACCACCGTCTTCGAGGCAGGGTCGATGCAGTTGCCCCTGCCCGCGTCGCACACGGGGTGGTCCGCCGGGCAGCAGTGCTGAAAGACGGCAAAGGATGGGGTCAGACAGACCACATGGCAGACACACTGCGACTTGCGTTGCTAAAGTACTGGACTGAAAACTCCAATTAGCTACAAATAGCCAATACTAGCCGATAATAGCGCATGTGCGGACATGAACGCCGCGGGGTGGGATGGGTGGCGAATGGAGAGCGGGCACAATCTATATCTGGACATGGCCAGACTGTCGCTCCAGATCAATAAGCTAATAATTGACGAATATGTTATTAGTGAACAAGTTCATCAGTTCAAAACTCAATGATTGGTGAATTATCACCGGCGAGAGAATCGCCGACGCCACCCACTCTCTGTCCTTTGTTTGAGCCCACCGAATCGCGGAAATGGCTGAAAGTTCGGTGCAAAACATGTGAGGCGCGATTCTTCCACAGAAACACTAAATAAAATAATAGAAAAACTAAACAAAATAGCACTAAATAATATAAGCACCAAATGCACAGCAAAGCGGAGCAAAGCATCCGCCCCAAGCGCCGGGGTGCGGCCACCCACCGCGTGGTCGTCGCAGCACGTGGCGTCGGGGTGCGGGCAGCACGCCCAGTTTAGGCAGAAGCTCACGACCATCATCTCGCAGCAGCACGTGGAGCCCGCGGGGCACGTGGCGAACTTGCCGCACTGCACGGGCGGCTCCGGCGCTGGGCCGGGAGGGGTCGGCGTGGGCTCGGGCGGATTGGGCGAGTGTTTCAGCGGATATGAAGCGGCAAGCGCCATGCCGCACTGCCCCTGCCCGTCGTTCAGGCCGTGCTTGAAGCGTATGTAGCCATCTTCACCCCAGTCCGGCCCCCAGGAGTTCTTGATGATCCAGTAGGGCGTGTCGGCAGTGAGGTTGTAGCCCACGGCCAGGACGCCGTGGTCCAGGCTCGTGCCGCAGGGCTCGTCGTAGATGCCGCCGCCGTAGAGCATGAAGGAGCGGCTGCCGGAGTCGATGGCGATGCTGATGGGCTGCAAACAACAATTTGCAACAAACTGTGACTCTCTTTGGGAAAGAAACAGGTAACACAAGGGGCACTGCCTCCAAAGCAAGTGCACGCGAGACTCTTTTCCTCCCTGTGAAAAGATACAGAGACTCCGACGAGAAATGATCACGCAACGCAAGCAACACACAAGGCTGAAGGAGGGTGGGAGACGGCCCAGTGGCGATGGCGTCAAGATGGGCAGTCTTGTGGTGCGGTGTCGTATTGAGCTTACAATGCTCAACACGTAGTACACGCAATATGTATTGCATATCACCACATCTATTACTACATTGCTTTCTCTATTATGTATCGATAATGGACATAATATGTATCGTACATTAGCGTATATCGTGCGTGTAATGCATATCATGCATATCGTGTGTGTCATGCACGTGTCACGTACAAAGTGCCGGTGTGCTATTTTCGGCCGCACGATTGCACCGAATCAGAGTGATCGATGTTTCGGAACCCAAATGCGGAATTCCACAGCGAATTCTTGCCATCGTTCCACATGTGCCAAAATACAAAACCCGTTCCCCACTACCCCCAAGAAGCCGCACAAGCCAAATTGCACACACAACATCAGGGCTGCGTGGGCTGCGCAAAACATCATGTTCTGTTGTAGGAAGAGGGCAATTTTCCACAGAAAGTAGAGTTCATAATAGACATCGACTGCCGTTTGTACAAGGCGCCATGCGTGGAGTGGTAAATGAACGACCATATACACGCATGGCCATGCTGCGCTTCTCTGCATGCAATTTCACCCTAAAGTATACATTATAACATCTGGTGCCATCCGCACCAAATGGACACCTCAAATCCACGACGGCAGGGAGAAACGGGTGTGGAGACAGGCCAGGCGAATGGATGGAAATAGCACAAGTCAAACTGGATCCTAACAAACGCCTTGGACTGATAACCGACCCTCATCAGCTTTAGGCGCAGCACCGTGGCTTGCCATGCACAACAACAGTCACACCAGGTGTGACAGCATGTTGTGGGTCCTGCGCAGGTCATGCATAGGCCCCGCATACTATGCGTAGTATGAAAAATATCATACCAACTTGTTGGCAATAACCAAACTCACATATGGAAAATACCAAAAGCAGCTTCTGGGTACAATCGCATGAATTGTACACAGCCCACCTGCTGCGCCGCAGCCTTCAGCACAGCGTCCTCGCTCTTGGCAACGTCTGCGTAGCCGTCAATGGTCACGTAGCGCTCGCTCTCCTTCTTCAAGTTGCACTGCTCATCGTGGCCAAGGTACTTGTACTCATCCTCCAGTGTGATGCCATGGGCCTTCACAAACTGGAAGGCATCGTCCATCCAGCCCCCACGGCAGCCGTTGTCCTGCTTCTCGCAGTCGATGAGCTCCTGCTCGCTGAGGGACAGCAGCTTGCCTGTGCGGATGGCATTGATGCCCTCAATCGCGCCTGTGGCCGAAAACGCCCAGCAGCCGCCGCACTGCAAGGGGCACATATGATCGTCAGGAAGGGTGGGGAGGGGTGATATCAGCGTTGATGGGATTCTGCAATCCGGTGGTGAAGCAAGTGGCCTGTGACTGAGGGGTGGGCAGGGGTAGGGAAAAAGAACATGGACATATTCGGCGGGGGCAATTCCTGGGGCAGCATTACAGGTGTGGTTTGACAGAGCTTTAGGGTGGGACTTGTTGCACTGCAGCCAGGCTGCTTGACCCATTTGACAAGGTACATTTCCTTCCAGGCGCCATATGTTCTCAAAATATACATAGGTTGGTGCCTGTATTTCACATCCTGCGCCCAACTGTGGGTGAATTTCCTCAAGCACATTGCAAGGGCGAGTTCAGGCACGAGCACATACATAATCGCGCCATGCCACGTCCTTCAGGGAGGTTGATTCTTGACAGCAACTGCTTGGAAGAGCCAGGCACACGACTCTGTGCCACAAGAGTTGCACTCAAGAAAAAGTTGGGAACTCCCCCTGGGAGTTCGGCAGTAAGGCAATTCTGACAAGGCAGCCCAATGCTCTCCCTGCGCTGTCGCTATGAAGATTGTCCTTCCAACAGAAATGAACAGTGCCACACGACGGGCGCCCTTCTCCTGACCAACAGCAATCGTGAGGGTGCATGCACAGCTCGTCCACTCATCAAATCCCAATGCTGGGAATATTCAGGAGATGGGCTTCCTGGCGCTGGTACTCCATGCAATATTTGGGCCAGGTTAATAATGACTGCAGCAACAAGTCATCTTGACACAACACTTTCCTGCTCTGATATTGCACGCAGGCTGACCAACAACCGTCACACAGCTCACCTGGACTGAGGGCAAAAGGCTTGACTATCTTTTAAGGCAAGGCGGGCGTCACCTTGCAGCTTCAATGTGATGCAGCCCTTTGGAATCGAGGATTCATCGCAACAATAATGGACACTTACCACACAGTGCCCAAATCCCACCGGTTTGCAAAAACCCGTGGGACTGCGCCCCATACAGTGGAAAATGGTCGGCAGAGCGTTCTGGAATCGCAACAGCAACTCACCGATTCCTGGTTCTTCACTCCGGTCACGGCGCCGTGCTGCCTCCAGTCGATGGCTTTGACACGGTCCTCATCGCTGGTGACTTCTGCCTGGGCCGCCAGTCGCATCCGCTCTTCTGGCACCCGCGTTCCCAACAACTCCCTGTACTCGTCGTCGCGCTTGTCTGCCAGGTGATTCAGGGTGAGCTGAGGGCACCAGAGTTAGGTCTTGAGTTCCAGGCATAAATTCTTTGCGCGAATTTTGTCCGTCACGACAAGAAGGGCACCCGGGAGCAAGGAGCGGAGCCTGTGCTGTGTGCATTAGGCAAATTGAGGACGGGGTGCACTCGCTCTCGGCACCTCAGAAGATGGCGAGGAGAACGAAAGGATCGCCCCGAGCGCGGACAGGTAAGGTGCCACGAAGGATATCCGTGCAGGCGTCACTTTTGGGGGCATAATTGAGCGAGTCTGGCCGCGATCAACGGTAAGAAATCAGTCTCTACGGGCGGCAGGCGCACAAAAGCCGGCTCATCGGCTGGCGGCTGCGGCTGTGCGCGAGGAGGCGCCAGTCGTCAAACTCCCGCAGGACTTTACCCAGTGTGAGTCGTGGCGCTTGTTGTAGTCCAGAATGTACTCCAGGTTCTCCAGCCAGATCTTGAAGCGCATCTCGAACTCCTGCGGCAGGCCGGTCGAGTCAGGCGGGCGCCGGAAGGCGGATCGATCCGCAATCACCAGCGGCAAAGTGGAAAGAAACAGTGTTGGCGACTCACCTGCGCATCTTCGTGGTAAGTCCTCCCCACCTCCGCGGCCCATCGGGAGAATGCTTCCCGTGGGCTGGCCTGCACGCAGCGTGAACAAATCACCACGAGTCACGTCTCCGCCAGAAAGCCTCGCGCCGAAGAACGCCAAGGTCGGTTGCCACACGGCATTCCCGCCAAGGCAGAAGAAAATGGGACACCGCCCCTGGCTGGGACTGCGATGCCGATGTCCAGTTTTGGCAGGCAGCCCAGGGAATTGGTTTGGCGCGGAGCGTGGGTGAGCGCGACAGGCAACATCGGCGTCAAAACGGCCCTAAACAGTGGGCCAAACCCCAACCGCTCCCCGCCATCACGCCAAAACACACAGGAAGGATGAGGCAGAGGATGCGACGAAGGCGCCACGGCTCTCAGCGTCAGCGCCAGCCGTTCGGAGCGCCCGGAGCGGCCGCGAACGCGATCATGCAAAAACTCGGACAGCAAACGGCAAACCGGCGCGCTCAAGCCCAAGCGGCTTCCCGCCATCAAGACAACAGCGACAGGGGAACAGGGCAGAGGGTGCGACCACAGCGGCACGGCTCATCCTCACCTGTGGGGATTAATCAGAGCGCCAGGAGCGGTCGCGAACGCGATGATGCAAACTCGGACAGAAAACGGCGCACTAGCGGGCTCAAGCCCCGAAGGCTTACCTCCATGGCTCCAAACGCGACAGGAGGGGTCGGCAGAGGATGCGAGCAAAGCGCCGCTGCCAACCGACGTCGGCGGAGGCCAACCGGGAGCGCGAGGGGCGGTCGCGAGCGCAATTGTGCAAACTCGGACAGCAAACGGCAATCCAGAGGGCTCAAGCCCCAGCGTTTTCCCGCCATCGCGCCATACGGCACACAGGAACAGGGCGGAGCGGATGCAACCAAGGGCCAGCGGCTGATGAACGCCAGCGCCGGCCGTTCGGATCTCCCACCAGCTGTCGCGAACCCGGCGATTCAAATCAGCCCGGTCTGTGCGTTCAGCGGGCGGATTATTTTGCTCTCCCGCGCTCGGGGGGTTCGCACCTTTGCCGACGCAAGCGCCGCCTCGTGCCTTACGCGGAGTTCATCATTCGCCGCTACCGCCAGCCATGCGCAGCACAGCACGGCCAGCGCAGCAAGGCCGCGCCGTGCGGCTGCCATCCCCGCGCTGCCGCGGGCGCGCAGAAAGCGCACGAAGGAATCAACCAGCGGGATGCGGCCGCGGGATCAATCAGCCGTCGACGTTGGCTGAGTCGAAGGTGGGCGGAGGGAGGTGGGGGCGGGGTGTGCGGAGAGGGGCCTCGGCGGTGGGCTTGGGGGCAGGGGTCCTTGTGAGGCCAGCGGAGGGAGGTGGGCGGTTGGCGGGGTGTTTTGTGGGCACAGGGAGGGCGGGCCAGCCAGAACTGACGAGGCATTGGGGCGGTGTGGCAATAATGATGATGATGATGTAGCATTAATTGTGTGTCAGCCGCCGAGGGCCCTGTGGCCCAAGAACAGTACGCCCATTGTTGGCGGGGTGGTGATGTGCTGGAGGCAGGGAGGGGAGCCAAAAAAGAGAACAAGTGCACGTCTTTCTGTTATGTACGCACCCCAGCTCACAACGTCGTGAGCTGAGAAAGGGAAGCGCCAAGGTACAAGAGGAACAGCGAGTGCGCATGCATAACTGAAAGATGTCGTCAAGATGTGCATTTGTTCATCTATGTTCATTCAATCGCAGCAACGTATTGTGACTGTTGTGTAAGAATTCTTGATGATGATGTGACTACTGTTGCGCCACTGGGCACAACGCCACAGTCTACGCAATCATCAGTCCCGTTCACATCATTTAAGCACAAAAGCGGGGGCGGGGGTGGGATTGTTGGGCACCTTGTATTGGGCGCTGGGAGGGGACAAGTGCTGGGACAAAAGATGGGGTGGCAAAAGAGGCAACGACGATTTTTGATGTGAAGCGGTGGTGAAATGTGATGGAACTTTTCGGGATCTTACACGTTCGCTAAAATAGCTACAGCTGTAACGTTACATGTGTGCCAAAACGCTGGGTCTGGGGTCGCTGCAGAATCTCCTGCTGCAGCGCAATAAGAGTATTCCTGGACCGTTGTTTGCTGCTTTGAATGATCTGTTGTGTGTGTACCTTTTTAGTGCCCTCAAATAATACTTCGAAACACGTAAACATGTGGTTGTATTCTGTTGGATCTGTTGATGAGCTACTTCTGTCACACATCAATTAGATCAATCTATTGTATTTTCAGTTTTAAATTCTTCAATGGAATTGGATGTAGAATGCAATGAATGTCAGTTTCAATCATAATGGAAACTGGAAAGGAGCCGTTCGGGATTGAATTTAGCGTTTTGTCACAGACTCGAAAGGTCATGGGCAAAGTTTCAAAAACTAAAGGACTGCTGCAGGCGACATTCCTGACCTGCAAGACGGCATGCATTTTCGTAGGGCAAATCGAACTAGCGGTACAGTAGTACGAAGCGCAAGGAGGCCACATACTACATATAACCCCTTGCGCTTCGCTTCAATCATTTGTACATCTCGTAACATTATAATGAGTTACGCTGACAAGCTGTAACAAAACAAAACAAAACAACACAAAGCACTTCTCTCCGTCATGGCGATATCGCCTTATTTCTCATCGATGAGAAACGACAACTAGTTAAAAAATGGGCCAAAATACACGGTTTTGAATTTCGGTTCTTAACAATTGAAAATAGACGGTTTCGTGTACCGTGTAACACGATTGAGAATCGTGCTAAATCGCCTATCTGTAGTGCATTTATTGTATAAAAATGGGACCAAACCGTCTAGTAACGACTGGTCAGTTGATCATGAGTGAGCGTACATGACTTTTACACGTTCTGACACAGATGTGCACGACCATTATGCGGTTTGAAACCGTGAGTTCTGGATGATCTTTCACTTGTGGATACAGCCACCAATGGACTGGCTCGTTCGCTTCTTTTGCATGCAAATTTTTGTTGCCATCTCGGGACCACCAGGATTGCTGTACCGCTATAAAACAAAAAATGGACGTTGCCAGTCGAGGTGTTGAAAAAGGCATGCACCAAGGCATCCTCCAGATGGCCATCCCACAAGTAAAACTTCCACCAAAAACAGACAGGAATCGTGTAAAACCGTGTCAAAAAGTGTAGAAATCATATGCACTCATTCAAGCGTTACTACACGGCATAATCCCATTTTCACATGACAAGTACACGTTTTGACACGATCTTTTAACGATTTTCAATCGCATTACGCAGTACGCAGTTTTCAAAACCGTGCGTTTTGGCCTGTTTTCCACCAGGTCAGCCTGTTGCCGGTCATCGCCGACAAGGTGCAAAGGTCTTCTTTGTCTTTCCAAGGCACATTGGCAAAACGAGCGGCACAGTAGTCAAGCAAGTAGCAAAGTTAGCAATTGACAAAGCAGCGTTCGTCAGTGCGCTTTGTGCTGCATGGCAGATACCCATCCAGAGGTACATTTGCAACGGTGGGGCAGCTTCTGGGAGCTCTCAAATTGGGAGGCAGTTATGGTGGCATGCTCTTGACTATCGGAAAGCACCATGTTTGCGACGCCAACAGCGATGCCATTTTGAGACAAAGTGGCGCCATCACAGTCATTGCGATGGCACAAAAGTGAGTGTGATGCCATCAATTAATGACAAATGGCATCGCAGCAGGCATCACAAGAATGTCTGTTTTTACCGGTGCTTGTATCCTATCCAGCAGCATTCAATACTGATGGTTGGGATGCAAGAGCATGCACCCCATAATTGCCTTTCTGTTGGGTTCTATCTGACGTAATATGGGATGCAGCCAAAGGGTCCAGCATCTATGAACGCCCTGAGGGAGGGGCTGTAGGCGCGCCCCAAATTAGATATTGGGTGCGCTGGCTAGGCGCCGCATGTGTATGTACATGTAATTGCTGCCGGCAAGCAGAAATAAGTAAGTGCAGGCGACAGCGCTCCACAGACAAACAACCGCGGGGATTTTCACCCGGGTCCAATACAGCGGAGGAGGCAGCCACCTCTTTGAAGTTTTGGCTCTGTGACTGCAATGGAAGTGTTTGGAAGCGCAGGCAAAAGGTCGGCTAAAATGCATGGCTCTCAGCGGTGTGGAAGTCGCGAAAGCCGTGCCAAATCGTGTGAAGTCATGTGCACTGAGTCAATCGTTACTACACGGTTTGGTCTCATTTTTGTACTATAAATATACGATTTAACACGATTTTTACGTGATTTTCAATTGTGTCGCAAGGTGAGGATTTTCAAAACCGTGCATTTCGGCCTGTTTTCATTAGCTAAGGGCGTAGAGAAATCAGGTGCTGTGAAATTTGCATAGGCCCTTACTGATGGAATGCCAGTGATGCTCGCCAATGAGCAGCGATCTACGGCGCACCTACGTTGCCGCAGATGCGCTCTGCAAACAATGTAATCTATCCGACACATAAGCTGCGATGGTCGCGGCGTTCTCCCGCTTCTTTTGTGTCGCAAAAATTGTCATGTAAATTCATTTCCGCTGCTGGAAATACAAAGGCAATCATTGGCCCAAATGCAATGTGGCTGCAAACAACCAGCTGTTGCGAAAACAACGATGGGATGTTTTGAGCTCTTTGGATTTTCAGTGTCTAGAATAGCTTTGTTACGAAAGTCTTGCCTTTAGCTGAGGCAATCGCAAGCAGCTCAGCATAAAGAGATTTGGCTTCGAATGGACACAAGTAAAAAATCGGCCAAGTACACGATTTTGAACAGCGCAAAAATCGCGCACAACCGCGTCAAAGGGTGTCAAAATCATGTACACTCACTCAATCATTACTTCACGGTTTGGTCCCATTTGCATACGACAAATACACGATGAATACGCAATTTAACACGACTGTTACACGATTTTCAAACGCGTTGCACGGTACACGATTTTGAAAACCGTGTGTCTTGGCCTGTTCATGACTAGTAGCATTTGCTGCAAACTTTGAAGAGCACTGGCCCTTCTAGCCGCAAGGCCTGACGTCGTTTTCAAGCCAAAGGGGATCGCTTCCAGTGTACTATACCGGAGCAGCAAGAATGAGAAATTCGAGAGGGCTCACTGGCCAAGGGCTCCTCAGATCGAGTAAGGGATTGAAATGTATTACGTGTGGACAACGGAATTTTTGCGACGCCAACTGCGACGGGATTTTAAGACAAAATGGTGCGATCACAGTGACTGAGATGGCAGAAAAGCATGTGCTATGGCATCAGTCAGCTCAAAATGGTGCCGCAGTTGGTATCGCCAACATGGTGCTTTCTGATTGTGTATTCCAATGCCCTCAAGATCTGGTTATTCCAAAACCATGCGCACATCGTCTATTTATCTTCAAAGGATCTAAAATATATGGTAAGGTTTTGCCGCACGTTGGGCTGGCTGCGAAAATCATTTGATCATGTTGTCAGGATGGACAATGCGCGATGGCAAAGCCCGGAAGGTGATGTAGGGCATGAGTGAACAGGCAGCAGCATGGGATCGCTCTGTTTTCCCTGGCCCGCGCCCAGCCTGGGCCGCGCCAGAAATGTGCGCAGCGCAGTGGGATGGACAGCGATTCTGCATGCAGATCTGGAACCGAGAGGTGCTCAAGGATTGCCGGCGGTGCGACAGTCCCACGCAGGCGTAAGTTCTCGGCGCACAATTCGCTCGAACCATTGCCAATCTCTCAATCGCCTTCAATCAGCGCCCATTTCGGCCAGTGGAAAAAGACAGTTCATAAACACTGCTTTGCTAGGGCGAGTAATAAGCTGATGGCTGCCTCCTCGCCTTGATATGTAACAACTCTTGATGATGAGGTGCAAAGAACGGCGGTCCATTCTGGCCGTCGTCCCCGGAGATAGCGCAGTAACACCACCCTCAAATTTGAGTGTAGTAGAACAGGGTATTTTCAGGACCAGGTCCTGGCGTCCAGGACCACGTCCGGGACGGGGTCCTGATGCCACCATGCCATCTAGGACGGGGTCCGGAGCCAGGACGGCGTCCCGGACGGCGTCCTGACGCATTGCGGACCACGCCACCAACTGTGCAGGTGAACATTCACACCAAGGGGTGCCAGGACGGCAGTCCGGACGCCGTCCGGGCTGACGAGGACGGCGTCCAGGACCACGTCCTGGATGTCATCCCCCCGGACGCCGTCCCGGACGGCGTCCGGGACGGCGTCCTGAGCGGTGATACAGTCCGGGCGGATGGCGCCATCATCATTCGTACTGCATCTCCTTCAGGACGGCGTCCGGGACGCCGTCCTGGCTCAGGACCCCCGTCCGGACCCCGTCCTGGCTCAGGACCTCGTCCGGGACCCCGTCCGGGACCCCGTCCGGACCACGTCCGGGACCCCGCCCTGTGCCAGGACTGTCCGGGAATCAATTCTAGTGCAGTCCCGTGTCCGGGGCGAAGATCGCCGAAGATCGACCACTGCGGCAATATCGAGGTCGTGGTGCTGTGTCTGCACGAAGCAAGAGGAGTGGTGCAGCCTATCGAAAGCCTCTGCCGATGCGCACAGAGGTACGGGGGCCAGCGATTCGCATTGGTGGATTCAATGTTGTTTTAGATGCCGTTGTCGAAATCTGCAAAAGGCAGTTGGTGATGATCTCCTGCCTAGGGCGAATGGCCAGGATGATCTGCCCAGGCCAAATGGCCAAGATCAAATGCTTAGGCAGCTGTTCAAGGCGCTTGTACGAAGGCGAGCATTTTGCTTGTTTTGTGGCGCCATGGGTTTTTTGGAGGTCCTCACGAGCTACCTTTGAAGGAGTTCTCCACCAAATACAAGTTGTCTTGCTTCCTTGCTCCCTTGTCATGCGGTATGAGCCTGTGGTAGACTGCATGAAGGACTGACACTGCCTTGTGATTTGACAATGGCTGATGTTCATATCTCAGGGTGTTTGATGGCAACAAGTTGGTGGAGATGTGTGCAAATGTGCACAATACTGTTGTCGTGTTGTTTGAGGGCGCGTCTGTCAACTGGGTATCTACTATCTGAGGTCACAATGGACCATGCAAGTTGATGCAGTTCATGCTGCACTGTGCTGAGTTTGGTGAGCTGCAAAGTGGCCTGGACAGTGTCCCTAACCATGTTTCACCTTGTACTTGTAGGGGTTGTTGTAGACCACAGCAAAGGCATTGAAGGTGTGTATGAAAGGGTGGGCGTGTGTGCATTGCTGCAGTATGTACCGCAACTGCATAATTTGTGTATTTGTGGTTTCGTCAAGGCAAGAGGCAGTAGGGTGAGATCTCTTTTGCATTGTTTCGACTGGGCGGGGGGCTATTGAACTCAGTCAGGACAGTTGTCACCACAGCTGGTGTCAAACGGCTGGGTGCTGTTGACAGATAGAACAGCAAGATCAAACTGCTGAATTGCGGTGGTTTGGCGATGTTTGTCCATTTGAAAGGTAGATAGTGAATAGGCAGCTTGTTGTCCATATTCTCTATGGTGTGGAAGCTTCCTGCGCCCTGGGTTAGGGCAGGTGCCAGGCAGTGCTTCATGTGCGACTTTTAGGTTTAGTGGACATGTTATTTGGCACCTCAGTTAGGGTCCTAGAAGGCAGTGTTGTGACCCCATCTGAGGTCACAATGGACCATGCATGTTGACGCAGTTCCTGCTGCACTGTGCTGAGTTTGGAGAGCTGCAAAGTGCCCTGGACAAAGTCCCTAACCTTGTTTCACCTTGTGCTTGTAGGGGTTGTTGTGGACCACGGCAAAGGCATTGAAGGTGTGTATGAAAGGGTGGGCGTGTGTGCATTGCTGCAATATGTAGCGCACCCATATAATTTGTGTATTTGTGGGTTCGTCAAGGCAAGAGGCAGTAGGGTGAGATCTCTTTTGCATTGTTTTGACCGGGCGTGCGGCTATTTAACTCAGCCAGGGCAGTTGTCACCACAGCTGGTGCCAAACAGCTGGGTGCTGTTGACAGATAGAACAGCAAGATCAAACTGCTGAATTGCGGTGGTTGGCGATGTTTGTCCATCTGAAAGGTAGATAGTGAATGGGCAGCTTGTTGTCAATATTCTCTATGGTGTGGAAGCTTCCTGCGCCCTGCATTAGGGCAGGTGCCAGGCAGTGCTTCACATGCCACATTTAGGTTTAGTGGACATGTTATTTGGCACTTCAGTTAGGTGATGTGACCCTGACGAACCTACAAATGCACTATGACATCTGATTTGTGGTCACAGTGTGATTGTGTCTTTGTGGGTTGGGTGGAGCTTTTTCTGTTTCCGGTATGTACCGCGGTTGGCCTCATGCCGGGGAGCCAGAAGTGGCCGCGGGGGCGAGTATTGCCCACTAGGGGAATAGGAGCAGACGGGTGTAAACTCCTTATGAGATTTGGGCCAATGAGATGTGGCAATGGGGGGCACATTTGTGCACGCTGTTCAGCCACATCAGCAACAATGCATCCTACATGAAGTGGTCAGAATCAAGGTTGGCTGCAAGTTTGTAGACTTGCATGGTTGCCACAGAGTAGCTCCAAGGACATTGCAAATAGAAACTCAACTTCGCACTTGGAGCTACCCTGTACAACCTTGCAGCCTTGGTTTCGTCTCCTTCATGAAACACACAATTTTGTGGCTAAAGACCCCCTTCTGAGTCCCGGAGGGTAGGGGGCGCACCCTACAGCCCCAATAACCCCACTGGTGGGGTGTCCCTGTGGACAAATGTCAACCAATCACACGCGTGAGGGTGGGAAAGCTGCAGACCTTTGGGGCCATACGCCCAGCCCGGTTCATCCGGCGCAGCTAGCTCGCGGTACTGATGGCTAGGTCATGGCCAGCGGGTCATGGCTGTGACGATAGCCGGCGTTTTTTTACTTCTTGCATTTACCTTTGATCTCCTCACAAGGGATGAATTAAAACACAACCCCAAAGCTGCACCTATTGTCAAGGATACTGAGTGGCAGGCCAATAGAGAATAAGTGTGTACAATAGGTTCGTTCTATGTTCAATCCACATAACCAAGTGTGTTGCACGCCACACTTATTATATAGTAGAGGGTGTTAACCTGTCAATGCGTGCTTAGTTCTGCACAGCACTATATGTTTCCTACACATGTGCAGCTGCTGTGTGACTGTGACACGTTTCTGTGAGTTTTTTGCTGTTTGCTTGTCAACTAAGTGTTGTGTGTGGGAGGGTTTTTTCTTTGGGGGGGCCTTTCACCATATCAAACACTGCTGCAGTGCACCCGTGCACTTGCAAAGGGGGGATGGGAAGAAGCCACTGCTGCAGTGGAGGGATCAAGGTGCGCGAAATAAGGTGAGAGAGGGTTGGGAAGTTGTGCAGGTGTGATTTGCATTGCAGGACATCTTCTGTGCGCTCTCTACTTCGTCCATTCCGGGTGCCAATTGTGGTTGTATATTCCTTCACTTGTAACCATTTCTGGGATAGGCTGGATTCACTGCAAGCAAATGCATGATGGGGGGGGAAGGCTGACGTGACTGCAGTGCTAGAATGAAGAACCTGGAATAGAGCTAGGTAATCAGCTTTTATGGCTGCCTGCTCTCAAGGGAGATCTTCTGCAGTCTCAGCCCCATCCAAGATCGCACAGCCATGCTCGTCACCAAATGTTAGGTGGTTGTTCTTTCATGCATGGCTCACTGTGCACAGTGAATGCCTCCATTTCGAATTGCATAGCTAGCCCACTGCAAGGGGCTCACGAGCAGGCTTGCACACCTGTGTGGACCCGGTACTTTATGTGCGCAAAATGAAAATACAATCTTGCACTCTCTTTGAGAAAATGACAACTGAAGTATCCCTTGGCTGTGAAGTGCGTAGTTAGCAGAAACAGCGCAACCCTGATGTCGGTTGTTGCCTCAGGGCCAAATCTGCCATTTGTAGATGTGATTCAGCCTACATTGTTCGATTGCAACTGACATTTCCACATCGCAGCTGGGCCCCCATGTTTACATCTATGAAGATGGCCACGTCCTCATGTTAATCAAAGTCCTCACTTTCCAAAAATGTTTGACAAAGCATTCCCAATCAGCATTCTGGCAGAAAATGGACAGTGGTCCAAAAATGGTTATGGAATTAGGTGAGTGCTTGTGTTCCATGTCACCATTTGGCCAAAAGAACAACAGCTGAATCTACCCTGAAAATAATTGCCAAATTCCTGCACAGAATTGCCAAGATGAATTCCCAGCCCCTTCAACATTGTACAAGGCAATCTTTTATGGACCAGCCATCTTTCAAAAGAAGTAAACACTGCCACCAGATGACCTGCTCATTCATCAGAAACACTAGCAACGCCAGACTCATTGCCGTTCCTGCACCCTGCACCCTCGAAATGCTGAGAAAATCACACATCCTCATCAGGATCGTCAAAAATGAAGTACCCCTTGGCTATGGACGTTAGTGCGATCAAAGGCTCTCTGATGTCTGTCACCTTCACAGGATAAGCTTCATAGTTTTGAGGTGCCCTTGGAGTCATGTTTGTCACCTCCAACAGACGGTCATCGTCATCATATACGCTTGTGGCGGTGAACAAATCAGCAATGGCCAGGTACAGTGGCTGTAGTCCAGTATTGGGCGGTGGAAGGGCCTTCACGAACATCTGTACCTTTGCCACATAATGCTTGATGGTATTCCTATAATCATATGTCACCAGCACGTATGGTGATGCAGTCGCAGCAGTCCTTTTGTATGAATCAGATGGAAGAATCATTGTGTTCCCATTGCGCCTCACAGTGCAGTGATGGTACATTTGCAGCTGAGCATATTGCAAATCACCAGCTGTCCATTGAGAAGCATCCCCAACATAGTACTTTCTCCAATGCTCAGACAAATCTGTCCTCATGCTTGTGCAATCTGAAGCTTTCATGGCTATTGGTGCGCCCCGGAAGTCAATGGGCGCTTGGCAACATTCACCACCATGTTGCTGCAGCTCTGCCCATGTCCACAACTGGTCAAAGGGTGCTTGTGCCTTTGTCCGCTTCAACCCCAACTCGTCCAACAAGTCATTGGCTAGAACAGCTTCGGCCTTGTTGTGCGCCCTCATGACCACCCGTTGCTTATCACCTTGTAGATGTCTTTCAATCCACCACTCAGTCATTCGGCCTGCAGGGCCCTCAACAAGCTCCTGCTGGTACCCTCTACACGCAAGGGTGTGCAAATTGTACGTGCAAGCGGACTGCCCGAAAATAGCCTCCACCTTTTTGCCATAATCGACAACCATCCCATGGGCATGCTTGGCATTCTGCTCAAATTGCTGCCATGTTAGACCCGTGATCCTGTTTCCCCTCAGATAATGCAGTGCAATACATCGCAACAACTTCCATGCCTCCCTGACATCTGGTCGTAGCACATCTTTGAACAACAACAATGACAATGATCTGTACCAAAACAAATGGACATGTGAATTTCACTGCAGAAATTGCCCAGTTTGGTTTGTAAGAATAAGTGAGTTCCATCAGTCAGGAATGATTCCAGTCAAAACCTGTTCTAGTATATATTGCTCACCAAATGTGGTGCAAAGTGCTACGCAACACTAGCAGGCAGTTCTGGATTCGTAACAATTTTTGGCTTGTTGTTTTTGAGTGTGCATGGAACTGGTACCCATACCACACCAAACTCACAAAAAGTTCTCAAGAGCCAAATGAAATTGATTGTGCTTGCACAAACCTACATTATGTCCATATGTCACTTTTGGTATCCAGAAATGTTGTGAGGCAGCAAGTGGTGTACCGTGTGAGTGGACTGTGATTTACTCACTTGGTGTGGAGCCACCACATCGACATGTCAAAGCTTCCCCGCTGGCCAACAATGCAAAGGGGCTTTTGCTGACCAATCGGCATCCTGAACTGAGCGCAACGTCTTTTTATGATACCCCTTTCAGCTGGCTGGACTGCATAGGCAGCGAGGTCTTGCAACTTCTTTGGAAGAATGCGGTCAATGAAGTTGGGAATCAATCCCAGCAAGATCATGTGTGCAAACCCCAATCTCCAAACATCCTTGTAGTTCACATAGGAAAGTTCTGCGATTGGAGAAAGCCCATTGCAACCTGCCAGATTCGGGTCCCATTCTCCAGCACGAGCCATCCTGCCTGCTTGCACCATTTCTTCACACGACTTTTCTACCCTTCTATCCCCAACCCGAACTCGAAGCGGTGCTTGTAGGTGACGGGTAGGCACATCCGACGGCTTGATCAAGTCGTCTGTGCTATACCCCAAATACACTGTTTTTGCACCATTGTGCCTGCCTAGCATCCAACAGTATGGGCATGCCCTGATCGCCCCATGACCTCTGAATTCAGCCACTTTTTGTCTTGCCGGGTTGTCACCAATCACTGAGGCAAGGATCGGCAAGTGACGTGCAGCATGAGTGCTAATAGCATCCTCACCCACAGCTCCAATGTTTAACACTGCCTTTTCAATGATTACACCTCCAGAGGCCATGAGATGTTGGAAGTCTTTCACTATCATTGCAATGTAAGCTTGCACAACCTTAGGTTGATCTGGTCCAGGCATCACCATCAATGTCACATGTCCACCCCGTTTTTCTTTGTCCATATCAGGGAGATCCAATCCCTTTAGGGCAATCACACCAGTTGTGATGCGCTGCCGCTTGTCGGCAAAAAATGAGAACCAATCAACACCCAATTCGTACAGACCTACACGGATGTCCTGCAAGAAGGCATTCCCAAAGTGTCTAGACAACTCTTTGGACTTTTTGGAGCCAAAGAATGTTCGGCACTGGGTGGTGTTCACATCCCTGTCCACCTTCT